AAAGAACCCTCAAAGAACAAGGTTAATCTCATAGTGCAATGAAATTTAAGTTATTGTGCAAAAAACTTATTGTGTTAGAAGAATACTGAACGATTCAGTATACTCCCGAGATAAGTAAACTTGACGACGTTTTCCAACATTGTGTCCTCCACATTGATATTCACCTGCGGGCAAGCTTGGCCGATTGACATGGCTTTCGACTTACTGGCGTTAATCCGCAACCTAATCATGCTCGCTTCTTCATTGAGAGCATCGGTGACCCTTTGCAATCCGTCTCTATCTTCAGCCATAAGTGCGATGTCATCCGCAAAGTCCAGATCAGTGAGCGTTTCATCGTTAAGCCAGTGTACGCCTACTACCGTTTGCTGTGTTGTTTTCCTCATGACAAAATCTAGGCAGACGTTGAACAGCAATGGCGAAAGGATGCACCTCTTTCTCTGCCTGACAGAAATTTGCCAGCATCATAGTTTAATTCTATTTCGACCACTTTGTCAGACTAGAAGTCACTCGATTCTATTCACCAGAATTTAGATTTCAATCCTTCAGGCTCGCCAAAGCGGTGAATGGCTGGCTATTCTGCTCGCATGAAGTAACTCGCAAAGGATTTGATTTCTCGGTGTTTGACTTGGACTATCTCCTGCAGCTCATATTAGCCGATGACAAGGTTGTGGTCTATTGTTGATCGAGTTATACTTATTTTCTTAATGCTATTCGTTTAAAGAATATTTGGTTGGATTTTGTCGATACTGGCAAGTTGACGCAAGAAGAACATCAGGAGGAAAGGGTAAGAGTTGCACTGGTGTTTTCTATAAACTCTAGAAATTACTTAAATATCTTCGAAGTAGAATTAGTCAATTCAGTTATAGAACTGCGTTGTTTATTGAGCGCTTTCAAATGTTGTTCTATTCAGTTGTTTTCAATGACATGCCATCTAGGACCAAGAGATCCTTCTCAGAATGTGTCTGATCATTTTCTTAACAAGTGAGTCCTTGAATTCTTCATCCAGCCAGCTTTATCTACTCTAGTCGTCTGAAAACTGTCTTGGTGTTCCTATTTCATTGAATTTTTGCTATTATACTTTTCTTCTTCGAATCCTCATTTTATTTCAGTTGGGTTATTTTACTTTTTGGGGATGTGAAGACATATTTTCAGGCCTCGCAATTCAAGAGCTGTTGGTTTCCCAGTATTGCCAGCTCATACTTGTTTACCTCCTGCACCAGTTGTTGATATGACCGCATTATTCCATGTGAATAATGTTATGGAAATGATAAATCCTCTCATCAAGCACATCCGTACGATATCAGAGTAAGTCTACTTTTACCAGCAAGTTATAAGGGTAAAAGTTGTCGATTCATTCTGTCTGTTTGAATTTACAGCGCCATGGTTTTAACTTTCGTTTCCTTCAGGGACTATGTAGTGGGTGGCGAAAATATGGCTCGAGAAGATACCAAATACGTAGAGCTCGTAACTAAACTCCATGCCCCTGTCATGCAACAAGTACCTGTACAACTGCGTTGTGGAATTCGCTGTGCAAATCCTTACAATACTGCTATCCAGGTACGCTTTCTACGCTGTAACTATGGAAATGAATAGAGTCAAAATTGCCAGATTCTAGTTTTTATGTATGCAATTTTTTTGTCTTTGCCCATGCTGCAGTCGAAGTGATGTTTACAGGTCACTACTACGAAGTTTAACGAGGCCACTGACGCTCAGATGGCTCAGAGTCGTGAGAAGCGAAATGCCATTCTTGGAGAGTTACACACAGGTGTACTGGACCGAACAGCAGTGGCCTCAGCGACGATGGAGCACATAGCAAGGTCCATATGATGACTCACTGTTTCTATGCAGGTTTAGGGATACTCCATTTTCCAGGCAACTAGTTCGACTTAGCCTTCTCTGCTCCCCTTCACATCGAGCAGGTGCTCAGGTGACTGGAAGAGCAATGCTGAAGACGGTCACGTCATCTCTGAGTGGAAGTGAAATGTTATTCCCTGCAGCTTCAGCGGCATATGAGCACACCCTGCGGGTTTTGGCTGAAGTAAGCGACCACCATCTCATATACAATGGGACTTGGCTTTAAAAGTCAATCTATTGGGTTGTAACATAAGTTCGTAGAGTTTTTTCACAAAGATTTATCTGAACCAAAAAACAATAATTATAATAATAAATTAACCAACGATGTATCCTCCGTTACTGTTCACGACCTCTTCCCATCTCTCGTCCAATTTGTTGATGGCGATTCGCCGAAAATCGGCCGTTGTGGTGTCGAAGAATTTGTTGAGCCAGTTTTTAAGGTCCCCATCGCCATCGAAGGTAACACCCCTCATTGGGTTTAACATAGAGCGGAAAAGGTGATAGTCGGCAGGTGCAAGATCCGGAGAGTGCGATGGATGCTGAAGAACCCCCCATTCAAGCTATTGCAGTGCTGTTTTGACGACTTGAGCAATATGGGGCCTGGTGTTGTCGTGGAGCAAGATGACTTGACCACCTCTATAAGGTCTTTTCAGCCGAATAGCCTCATTTACACTGTTCAGCTGGGTAATGTAGACCTCCTTGTTGACAGTGGCGTTTCGTTCGAGCAGTTTCCCAGTGCACCATGCCTACCCAGTCCCACCAAACTCAGATCATGACCTTTTTTTGGGTGAAGATCTTGCTTGACTCTCGGCTTTGGCGCCTTCCCTGGGGCCACCCACACCTTTTAGTATACACACCTAAGACACCTTCCCCGTACACACTGCATATGTCCCGAGCGGTTTCGGCTGCTTTTTTGACCTAGACGAGAAGCAAAGAAAAGCATATGTCGAAAATGCTAATTTTTTCTTCCTGGATATTCCATTTCTGAGCCCGAAAAAAGACGAACAATTTAATTATCCTAAAAACGAATAAAACAGTTTTGTAGAGGAGAAAGAGCTCTTTCAAATGAATGTATACACTTTGCTAAGAAACAAAATAACTCGTTGTAAAATAACTCTCACGCAAAACTCTACGAACTTATGTTACAATCCAATATTTCCTCGGGCCTCAATTGTAATACCGGGTGTTCCAAAAAACCTTGAGAAATTCAAAGGGCACACTCTTATTCAGGGATTTCATCAATGTCTTGATATCTAATTTTAGGAGTTTGTGCGTATGCAGCCTCAGGAGCAGATTCCCGTTATGGTTATGGTCTTGGAAGGATTTGCTCTCTATGAGCCACTTGTGGAGGTAGCCTTTATGACGATCTCAATATTCCTGCATGATTTTCAACACATTTTTTTTTGATAATTCTTAGGCTTTCACCCCTGAGTGTCTGTCGTCCACCGAGCTTTGCTCTGCGTACACTCGGTTGTCTGAAGCTGTCAGGGATCCTGAGCGTAGTTCAAGAGCGTTGCAGCTTTTGAGTAAGTTTTGATCAGGCACATATGTAAACGGTTATCTTCAATCATAGGCATTTTCGACTTCATTGGGATTGATTTGTGTATGTTACTTTCCAGGGCGACTAGGTATGGACAAGGCGGCCGCATCATTACCTCCTCAACAGTTCGCTCCGTTGCTACCATTAGCGTTCAAGAATCTAGCCAGTCAGCCAGATTCAACTGCTCCCCTGCATATTCTTTGTATGGAACATGTAGTCACCTTCGTCTTTCATGCATTCCCAGCAAACTTCCTCGCTGGTTTGGATATGGCTTTAGATGGTTAGTTTGTAGTGATGAGGTTGTCGTCAACTTTTGTCGAAATTCGAAATATTAACTGTTAATATCAGGTTGCAACACTGGCGAAACGCCGCCAGCTCTTCTACAAGTTTTTGTTGAGCGCTTAGGAGCAGAAAATTACGAAACCCAGAAAGGAAGCTTCGTTTTGGATGCACAGAAGGTAAAAAAAAAAGTTATTGTCTCAAGTACAGTGGTGAATGGGCTGAGCCAGCTTTAACAGTTAATCTAATGTGAGGAGCGCGACATAACTTGGCTTGTAAGTGAGGTGTCCATAGGAGGCACCGATCTCACTATTATGCGCTTTGATGCCCTTATTTCTCGCCAACCTTATCAGAACTGTGTTCTGGAAACCATCGGGGGGTGTAGTGGAATAGCTATTGAAAAACTGAGTCACATAGCCCAAACAGCAACAAAAAACCGAAGTCTTCTTGCTAAATGGAAAAACCATTTCAATTAATTCACAGGCTGGTGAATGTGCTCTGCTACTAGCGCGACGTCTCAGCGATGCACGATCCCGGGCTTCGTCGCTGTATGCAGTGTGGGGGCGATACCTGGACTCTGTAACCAGACTCGCCCAACTGTTTCTTTTTATTCCTGTACAACAAGGCTTTTCTGCTGAGGCTCCCACTAGCATCGTACAAAGAGGTGAGTTTCCTACCGAAATATTTTACTGGATATTCACTGTATATAGGATTTTATAAGATCATGTCACCCATGTCACACAAAGAGAAATACTATCTGTCAGTGCGGTTGTTCAGTGATACCGGTGCACTGGCAGATAGTAATTCTACCTGATGATGATGATATTCCTGTAGGCGTAATGTGTATCCTTACGGTTTTTTTTTGGCAAATTGTTAGGTGTCATAAGTAGTGTTACTCCACTTTTGAACATTTGTTAGTATCACCTATTGCGTGCACATTCAGATTTTGCCGAAGTTTTTCAAAGAGTTCTTGCCGTTTTCTCACCTCTTGTTGTGCCAATGTCTGCTTCTGTACCTCCGTTTTCGCCTTCCAACGAAGCTGAAGCCGAAATGGTTCTGGACAGATTCGTTCATCTTCTTACTGCCCTCCCACATAATGGTGCTCTTCAGCCTGGGAGCCAGGTTTGTATTTTTTATTATTCTGTGTGCCATTAAGCGGTGCGGGCAGCAGGAACTGTTTTTCAAAATATATTCTTTACTAAAAAGTCATGAAGACCATAATCAGCGGATCATATTTCAGAATCTCCCATCTCTGGTATGGCAATTTTATTTCGAAAAGTTGTCTATACTATCGCATGGATCTACTCACTTTTTCTCGTTAATTGTAAGGTTTCTAATCCGATTCGACTTTGAAAATATTCATGGTGAAGTCTATTGCAGGAACGCAGTTTTGTACGTATCCCTTGGCCTTCGTTCTATCCATCGGAGCGAGGCCTTGGTGCTATGGATGAGTGTCTTGCCAGTCGATCGCCCTGTTGTGCTCCGTTTATAGCGCAGGTCGTGGTACGAATATTATGGAAGGATGTGTTAGTAAATCATGTATGTTTCAGTAAAGACAGTTTTGTTTACTTTTTAATACCTCAAATATTTTGGTACTCTTTTCCGTTGCCGTTCACTCATCGAGCCTCTTCTTCTTACTTTTTTGTTTTTTCTATTCGTAGACTTTCACGTTCAATATCGCTTTATTGATGAAAATTCTAGATACATATCGAGCTGCTTCCTCAGTATCTTTCGCTTCTATTCAGTGTTTTGGTACGCATTGGCTCCACCGCTTCGAATTATGTCAAAGTGAGTCTACTTATATGTAATTTAATTTAATTTCATTGAGAGTTTAGAGATTATATTTTCATAGGTACGCGCCTCGATGATGGATCTGGTCAAAATGCTTTCTCAACGAAACGATTGGTCATCGGTATCACCTGAACGTGCCGAGGAACTGGCTAAAATGGTGGGCGTATGCCTTCCATACGACTCACTCACCAATCCAACGGATGTAGTGGGAGTGCTACAAATGTGCGTTTCGAGTTCTTGTTTTTTTTGGCTTAGGTGCGCACCACGTAACGAAAACATGGAGCGACCAAGATTTTATGACTTTTCGATTTACCGCTACTAAATTTCCCTGCTTGGTGGAGTGGCTGAAAAGCCATTGATTTTCTCATTCAGAATATGGCGCAAGATTTGCTGTTTCATCGTCCGTAATCCCTACTCGTCAGTTGCTTTACTCAAACAGACGGCTTGGCTACGAACCGAGTGCGCTTTGGTGCTTCGTGGTGGCGCTACAGCTGCACCACCCGCGTACAGCTCACTGATTGCGGATGTTGATGCTTTGTCCAAGCAACATGGTGAGCAGTAGCTTTTTGTCTGATTTAATATCCCATGTCGTGAAAAGGTATGGCCATATAGCCATTGCGATTCGAAAATCGAATCCTGAATCAACACCGATGCCATATTGGCGCATCTCGTGTTGAGTTCTTGAGTGTTACAGTAAATTTAAGAGAATCTTCGAGCCTTTTCCGTGGTTGCGAGGGAACTTACAGCGTTATGGAGCAGGATTTCGGATTCTAAATTCGGAGGTGTGTGTATTTGCTGTATCTCTTGATTATGGTAGACTGTGAATTTTTCTGTTCCTCATTTTATTCTTTTTTGCTGCCTGTTCATTTAATGATAGCCAATTAAATTTCGCTCTGAATTTTGCTCTAATATCGTTAAAGAATCGTTGGTAACAACATGGAATGCTTATATTGATGCAAATCCCGAGTCACCACTGGTACTTATGTCACTAAATACCATTATTGGCTCGCTCAATTCTGACCAAATAACGACAGCGCTTAAAGTAATGGAGAAGACTATTAGAGCGTACTTCAAACGTAAGTTTCGAACCAAATCTCGCGTGTGTGCTGCAAAAGTCCAGGAGGGATCTCTGTACTTTTCAGGAAATTGCTTTTCATGGTCTGAGTTGATGGAATGGGCACAATGTCCAGCTAGTCTCACAGTCACCGTTCGGGATTACCTGCTAAGTGTTTCAAGGTTACTGATGGTCAACAGTGATAAAGTTGGCAGATTCTACTGAATTCAGCAAAAACGTTTCCAGTTCCAACAAAGCGCATCCTCTGATGTTAACGACTGCATGGTTTCTGAAATTCTTGCCGCCAAGTAATGATGTTGCTCAAGCTCTTCATGGATTTGTTACCAGTATTAAACCCAAGTATGTGATTTGTAAATCTCGTTGCAGCTTACACAAAAGATCCTATTAAAGGCACGTCTGGTGTGAAGCTTCTTTTCTGCTGTTGATTTGGCAAGAGGTCCGATGGCTGGCCGACTCTGCAATTGCTGCCCATGCCAATCCCGGCTCTCCTCACGATGACAGGCTGCAGTCTTTTATGCGATGGCTCAGCAAGGTAATGCTTTCACCCAAGAAGTTCCAATTCAACCAGGATTGTAGCAGCTAAGTTAAGAAATCTATCAGATATTCAGCCTACCAACTGATTCCTTTTTTCAATCTCTTTCGGTCGAAGTTCTCAATACATCTCGCTCCGAGCACGATTATTTTATGAGTTACTTCATGAGGTTCTCTACTAAAATGTTTCGAGCAACCGATGAAATCCCTAGCACATCGATGATATCGTCTCATCTATGTCTCCATGGATCCTAACTGGAACCAGGTGCACTTAAAAATATTCTCCTTTTCAGGCCTCTAAAGACGAGTCAAGTTTTATAACGAATCTGATAACGAGCAAGAAAACGGCTCACTCCCCTCGGTAAGTGATTATTCGGTTCCGCTCTAACAGTTCACTTCATTGTCATACTTTTCCAAATACATTGTTGTAGACTTCGAGCAATTCTTACAATTCTCGAGTTGTATCTGATGCAGCAAATGGTGGGGGATTCGAAGTTACCGAGAGCCTCGGAGAACGCTCCTGTTTTGAACAGCCGAATCCACGGACTTAAAGAAGCTGCATCTGTTAAGGTAAATGTTGGCAGCTTTTCAGGTCGAATTTCACTTCTCTATTTTTCACTGGTTGTCTAATTTCCTGTTCCTTTTGTTTAATACAAAATGAAGTACTAAACTATGCCAATCATCTGATTCTGTAATGCACTATTACGGTCTTATCGAATGCGCCAGCTGGATTGCTTCTTTCTGTTTATTGACTAGTCCTATTATATATGCCGCTGTCATTGTTTAGCATAGCCCAGTTTCTACTTTTTTAGGCGAACCAACCGTTTGCAGCTGCTTTCAACATCGCCACACCATTCTTCGTACAAGTCGACCTGCACCATATTGGTTCGGCTCCAAGCCTCGTTCTTCAATGTTCAAGGGCTCTATTCAAAGAGAAGTTCTTATTGGATACGTGATCTGTGTTACTACTTTGTGATAACGCCTCTTTCCATGCTAGTCTTTTCAGTCATGTAAAGTGCATGTGCAATTGCTGAGGGCAAGGTCCAGTCATATTTTCGAGTTCTACGATTTTCAGCTGTTTTTATGGCTCATAAGAGTATATGGTGGCTTTCAGTATTAGTTCATTAGCCAAAAAATTGCCTCTTTGCTGTTCATCAGTTTACATCATAGTTCTCATCGCGTTTCCGCTACTTATTCAGAAAAAACTCTTCTATTTTTTTATTGCATTTTTATACGATTTTTGCAAATGTTCGACAGGGCCTTGCCTTTGATATTAATGTACATAGGGTGCCGATTTACTTAAACTAAACTTATCACGTTTACAATACCTGTCAGTTTATTCAATCACAGATGCTGGTTAATTCGGGTGATCATTGCGGATCCCATCGATTTTCTGGACGATTGACGTAATTCCATTTTTATTGTATTTGCCAATAAAGCTTCTTAGGTGTACTGCTTGTTTGTAAAAGAAAAAAGCCGTAAAAGAAAAAGCGGCAAGTAAACTACTTCGCTCGTTCAACTTTTTCGATTATGTGGAACAATAATTTGAAAGCCTTCCTATTGGCGTCTTTTTCTTTTTGCTACATAGCATGTAAAGGCTGTAAGAGATAAGAAAGAGAATATTTACGTTAATCCCAAGATAGAATTCAGGATGATCACTTGGTTCATGTAGTAGGCAGGCAGGCAGGCATAGGCTCGTATTTACTACCCACCTAAAACTGAGCGCCTTCATAGTACCGGCGACAGGACGCGGACGCAACCCGGCTTCAGCGTCACACCATGAATCGCTCTTTGTCGCCGATGAAAAGAAGTATAGAGAAGTATCATCTCAAGCAGCGGTCTTGAACAGGGTCAATATTTAATTGAGTGATTCTTAATCTCATTAAATTTGATCTTTAGTTTTAATCATACAGAATTTCTGAGCTACCAAAAACCATTAGTTCAGGGGAAAGGTAGGAATGAAGAACTCGCTAAGGCTTTACCGATCTGGGGAGAGAAAGGAACGGGCACAAAAAGAAACTTGAACACTTTGAGGGCAGCATCACTGCGCTGCCACGTTATCGATTAATTTACCAAGGCGAAGGAGTGCACCCCAGACCTCCGACTGAAGTGGGTGCTCGCCGCCCAAACTCGAGGCGATTACGATTTGCTCACTGTAATAGCGCTTCAAGAATATTCTTTCAGAAGTTTCTCCAAGTTTTATGAGCATTTGGAGCATTTTGGTCAGGGAACCTTTCCATTTGCTGCCGTATTTTCAATGCTTGCATGGTTCAGTGGCTAAAAGCTTTCTGAAATGAAGCGATGCTCTTTTCAAATCTTTCCTGACATCCTATTTGATTCTTTTCTGCTTCCATTTCCATGTTTTATAGCAGCAATAGGCTGACGTCGTCAGTACGATTGTTGTTGCAAAATACCGCAACGTTCAGTTAATTGTTTAACTCATTTACTGATTTTTTTCTTTGAATTCTCGAAATGCCAATGTTAATACTGTTATTGGACGTCTAATTCTTCGCGATAATCCGAGTTGTGGCACCTTATTTTACATTTTGATATGTCTTTCATGGTTCTTGACAATCGCTCTCTTGTCTGAAGCACCCTTCCTTTATTTACCCTAAAAGCAGAAACTAAGTCCAAATCTGAAGGTAATAGAAGATGTAAAACCGTCACGCTCCCACAAATCATTTCATTATGCGTGTAACGAGGTAATCGGAACTTACTCATCGGTGTGGCCTTGATCTTCCGGTCAGCTAGTGTCACATTCGATTCGTAACTTTTTTTTGTCATGCTGTTAGTCATGGAATGGCATGCGTCATTTGATTCAGGAATTTTTCACTCCTTGCTCCCACCAGGTTCCACTACTTCGTTACATTGGAATTACATCTTTCAGCGCCACGCTTTCCTGTCATTTGAATAGAAGAATGTTCAAATCTAGTTGCTTAGTGGTGTACATTCTTTTCAACGTACGTATTTTGCCAACAAATACTTTCATATGTAAAAGTAAACAGAGTTTACCAGTATGCCAGCGTCATATTCCTGCTACATTCTTGTGGGGCGCGCCATGGAGGAGCAACTCCCTTTACGTGCGTCGCTCCATGCTTTCTTTGCCTGCTAATTTACATCCTTTCGCTGATTTTACTCGTTTTATTTGGTGAACAATTTATTTCGGTGAACAATTCAAGAGTCCATCGTTATTTTGCAGACACTAACCGTCTCTGGGTCTTGGTTAAGAACCTAGATAACGTGTGATGCGATTGTGCCTACCACTATGTGCACTTTTGGTTGTGATCGTTCTCGGATCGGACTATCCACGAGATCCATATGCAACACTTGGCATATCGAGAAAAGCCACTGCTAAAGAAATCAAGAGGGCGTATAAACAGCTCGCCAAGGAATGGTGAGCTACACTTTAGTGTTCTTGAACTATAAAATGCTCAGCCAGTAACAGAAATGCAACAATCAAATTCATAGCCGGCTCTGCAACCCTTTCACTGTTTCCATAGGCTAATCGCTTAATTCCATTCAAAACCGTGTAGATTTTGAAAGCAGAAGAAGTGCTTCTTAGTTACACGTAGATTAGCTCTTCTTTGAGGGCCCAAGGATCATTTACACTTTTGATATTTTGTTTTGAAGGCATCCGGATAAAAACACAGCGCCAGAAGCGCAGGAGCGGTTCGTTGCGATAAGCCGAGCCTATGAGCTACTGTCTGATCCTCTCAGAAAGGAACGTTATGATAAATTTGGAGCAGTTGATGAAACACCGCAATCAGGACCGCAGTTCCATGGGTTTGGTGGATTCGAACACTTCGTGAGTGGATGTGATATTCCTTTTTCACATCCTAAGCATGAGGATTCAATGACTTTTTTTGAATAGTGTAAACAAAAATATGTGGTTGTTCAACCCTTTCTTTTAGTTTGGCGGATTTGGTGGTTACGAAGACGGCATATTTGGTAAGCAGCGTATCTCGCTCCGCCAATATACTCACTCAATTTTAGAAAGGTAACATTCCCTAATTACTTTTTTCTTGCTTTAGATTTCACTATAGTTCTTGATTACTTTGTTACTATCTTGGCCTTACAATAGCTCGAAAGGGCCCAGTTTCGGCTGGAATGTGCATGGAACCAGTGTGACCAACACATTGTACATAGAATAGATGTAGTTTTTCATTGTACCAGTTGGGCTACGCACGCTAATGCGTGCACCACATGCCCACTACCGCTTACCTACGACTTGTTAGAGGACCAATATGAAGAGTATCTGTTGACTTCCCATTTCATAACTGTTTCCTCACCACGCTCACGTGACATTCACACTTTTCGTCGGCCTACGTAACTTTCAGGAGGACGTTCAAACGGGCATACAAACAGACGTACAAAAGTACCGCTTTATATATAGAGACAGTCGTACCGCCCGGCTCAAGCTGGGCTTACCTCCTTCTTATGATAAAATTGTGATAAACGGCAAACAGCAACCCCTTTGGAACGAATTATGCTCTTCGGAACACGAAGTCTGACAGAGGAACAATAGGGCATGCAAACGATATCCAAAATGTGCCGATGCCTATGCCTCTGATTGGAAGTCTCGATCTGTCGCTGTTCATTTTAAAATTAATGGCCCATTGAAGGTTTAATTGTTAGCATCCAAAGTCTTGAATGGTACTCGCAAATGTCATGTTGTCGAGTCATAATAATACCATTATCGAATGTCTTTATGAATGTGGCTCCTTTTCTCTACGGATACATCATTAAATGAGAATCCAATATTGTTAGCGGTCGGATAAGCTTTGCCATGAATGATATCAAAACAGAGAGAAACCGTGTTTCTTCATCGAATCGGAAACTTCGCTGGGTAGCGGTAGTAAGCAAGAAGTGAACCAAATTTCATAATCGGTGCCTATTAAGCACTTACCCTTCTTGTCGAATGAAACATATCAAGGAATTACAGCTAAATCGTAAATAACAAAGGCGCTAGGATTCAATTGGTGATTGAAACTTGATCTCTAAGGCCTCCTTTATCGTCAGTGTTCCCATCCTGACCCTCTACTATTGATTTTGCTCTCCAAGTCCGTCCAAGGATAAGGAGTTATGGATTTTCCGCTCAAACATTTATTTCGCACAAACCCTGCCATCTGTCTCTGCCGNACGGGATCGAGAATGGTTGGTGCCAGGCAGTGGCTGATAAAACTGACAAGGGTGAATGAAAATCCTACAAAGCATAGAGCCACTATGATAATGACATTATAATGGAGCTTTGACAGTTTGGCATGTGATGTGGAGTAGGCGACCGATGATAGGCACTGATAACAGCTGATAGCGACTGATAGGAGCACTTACCAACTGAATTCAACTCCTGTGGTATTTACGATATTTTTATGACTACGACCATAATATAGATTACGACCGCTCCCAGCAAGGTTTGTAACTCGGTGGAAGCTCAAGTTCCCTTTATGTTTTGATATCATTTACGACGAAGCTCATCCGACCGCCAATAATTTGGGATTCTCAACTAATGATGTACCCGTGCAGAAAAGAAGGTTCAGTGATAACGACATCTGATAATGGTGTTATTATCACTAGAGAACATTAGTGAGCACTGCACAATTCTTTGGTTGCCTATCAGTCAAACCTTAATGGTTCATTAATTACAAGATGAAGAGCACCCGATTGACACTTTTAATCGTAGGCGTATGCGCGGGCATTTGGTGCACGCATTGGCGTGCGTAGCCCAACTGGTACAAACATACAGAAAAACGGACATTTGTGGATTATATATAGTAAGGATAGTCAGTTGTACATAGAATAGATGTAGTTTTTCATTGTATAGTCAGTCCTTGTTCAAAGCCATCGCTGTGATGCTGATGCGGTCATGACTGTCAAATAGTTTGAACAGTTGGTGCTACAGCCATGAGTAACTACTGGCTTGGCTCAAACTTCCTCCAACCTAACTCATTTAAAGCTTGTAATCAAGAGCTATAGGGTGAATCAAGAACCTTTTTGCTTTCAGTTTGATGGGTAAGCATTTAACTGATGCACTTTTCAGAAGTTATTACCAACCTTTCCTCCTTTATGCCTACTCCAACTACTGTCAGCTGTGCTTCCGATTGCAAGCGCAATGGAAGGCAGTTTCGGAGGATCTGGAGCCTTTGGGTAAGTTAAACATATTTTGTGCATATTATCGAATAGGCCTAGTTATATCTATGTTAAGGTTACGGTATCGGTGCTGTCAATGCTATGACCGATGGTAATTTGTTGGAGAAGTTACGGATTTCACGTCTTCCTGCAATCGTAGCCATCATCGAAGGGAGAGTGACCCATTACCGTGCGGATATGTTTTTGATGAATGCGAGGTTAGAATTTGACTGCTTTCGCTCTCACGTTTTGTTTAACAGCTTCGTATTCCCATGACGATGATGAAGGTAGGTAAAGGGAAAAGCTCGAAGAAGGCTTATCAAGACATTTTCTTCATGGTTGTTGCTTTTTCCAAAATATTTCTAAAGTCTTATCCACACCTGCGAAATTTTCATCTTTTTTTCGCTAACTCTCACTTGCGCTGATGTTTTGTTTCTTTAACGTTAGACTGCCGTCTTTCTACCTCTGTGATCAATGGTTAAATACACAGGGTCGTAATTGTGTTGATTTATGGTGTTCATGTCATCTTCTCTGAGCTTTCAGCTCAACTTTTGCTTCTGTCGGTGAAATAAGCTCCAAAATTTGTTGTTGTCAGGATTTGGTTCGTCAGAGCTCCCATACTGCTATGTCGAGTGCCATTTCAGGGATGTGCGCATTTTCGCTCGAGATGTCATTCCAAGAACGTTTATGGGATTGATCAACTCTCATGATGGTCTTTCAAGATTTGTTAATCAGTGGCAGCAGAGTAATAAGGTCCTGTTGACTGTAATTGCCTTCATTGCCATCCCATTTTCCTATATTTGTTAATTTTTAATTCTAGATATCGGTGGTTGTACTGGGTGCTGCTGCTGAACCACGAATGCGGTATCTCCTCGCTGCAATGAAATTCTCTCATTTTGCTCGATTCGCCTATATTCAGGTTTCATCGCAGTCGGATGAGGTGAACACATACCACATACCTGTTAGAAGGGTCCTTTGTAACAGAACAGTATTATAAACGATAAACGAGAACGTAGATGATTTATTATAGGTAACCTCGATTCGTGAGGATTTGTCTATTAAATGTACACAATGTGAAAACGTTCTCATATTCAACGACTTACCAGGGGTAAGTAGTTGTAACATTCTCATACACACCATACTTTTTCGCCGTCACTACGATGAGTAATATCGAGCAAACTAAGTTGTGCTCACTTCCAGGGTGGACCTGTAGCCCGATTGTCTATTAGTAACATTAATCAACTCACCATGGACACCCTAAACACTTTGATTGAAAACAACAAATGGATAAGCTTGCCAAGGGTAGGTTTTCTCATTGATCTCATAACGTTACCTCACTAAGAACACAATTTAAGCTTTCTTCATCTGATTATCTCGACGAATTGTGTCCAGTGTCATCAAGAAATCCTCGCCGTCTATGTGTCATTTTGCCTGTGATGGATTCTTCTGAAGATGAAGATTTCCTAAATAGTTTCCGTGTGTTCGCACGGCAGCATAAGGATCACTATGCTAAGCAGAAGGTGAGGATTAGACGGCTGAAACATACCCCTCATCGTCTTACAGCCAGAGCCATTTTGGTTTTACCCCTCCCCTAAGTGATACGGACAGGCTTATGAAAAATATGTATGCTTTCTCTCGAGCACATCAAGGGCAGGCCGTAGATCGCTTTTCCATTTAGCTTCACAGATTCACTACTTCACATTGATTTGTGTCATTCTTGCCGTATCCAATAGTTACTGTCCAGATACTTTACTTCAGTTCACTTAATGATATTTAGGTCGTTCTTACATATATTTATGCTAATAGGCAGTCTGAGTGGATCAAGCCGTTTTTGGAAAAGCGAGCAGGCGACAGCGTTGTGAGTTGATTGCCATGCTATTTTTGGAAGTAACCCGAACGATGGTAGTGCGCCTTATATTATGAGCTGTGCTATTTATTTATTTATTTTATTTTATTTTTATCATTTTTAAATAAGTCACAGCAATCGAGGATTTTCTAGGCAGATGCAAGGGATATATTGGTAATTTGGCGCATCGAACATGTGAAAGCTCGTTTCACGTGGCTCGAATCCGCATGGGGTGTTGGTGCCGAGCACTTCGAGGCTTTATTGGGCGGTGTAATATCACAAAACACTCGACTGGACCTGACAGCTCCAGTGGGGAACTTGGTGAGTTTTGCTGGGATTTAAAGCGAGCAGCAGGTGAAATAGAAGAAGCTGTGCAGTGTCATTTCTTTTTTTTTTGTTCAGATTAATGAGTATGCTCCCTCATGGTGGACGCGTATGTGTCGTGCTCTAGTGCGCATGGTGCAATCTGCCTGGTTCCACATAACAAAAGAGGAGGCGTACCCCGTGCTATCAGCTGTTGCAACGTTCCTCGTTATCCTCATAATAGGCTACAGTCTGAACTACATGAATCAAGAATCAAGGCCGAAGAAAGTAAGTTTCTAGAGCGCTCTCAATAAAAATAGAGTGAAAGTTATTCGGCTCCATCTTCTCTAGGAAAAGCCACGGACATTTGTAAATGATGAGTGGCACCCAGAGGATCCGCAGTCAAAATCAGATCCACCGCAAAAACCAAATCCTCAAGCGAGATTGCAGCGGTAAGTGTTTTTTACTTGTTCGACGATGGCACTAGTTATTGAAGTCTTCCCAATGAAATCTACTTATATGGCACTTGTTTTCACTCTTATTTTCATCGGGAACCCGCAGGCCAGGTGAAATTGTTTACTTGTGAGGGCTGGCCTACATTTTCTAGTTAAATTTTTGAGAGGACTTATATCAGGGTAGTAGTCTCCTCTAAGTTCATACCATACTTCTCTGTTCTTCCAACGCTGTTTCTTCAATTATTTCTTCTATTAAATGGTTATTTTTCAGTGCGTTATCTATAATGAATCCACACATCCATGAATTGCGAGCGGAGAGCTACTTTGGCATGATCCGTTTGTTGAAGCCAGGATGCCGATCTCTCATACTTCTCGTCGATGAACAGTGTAAAGAGAAACTGTTGATGCAGTTTGCCCAATATATTCTGCCTCTCAGAAAGTAGTTTGTTTAAAGCTCCATTTTTATGATTGTCGTATTTCACAGATAGTGTTTTGGGAAAGTTCTAACCTTGCTTTAATATTCATTCCTTTGTTTTCAGTAACAAGACGTTTTCATTTGGATTTTTAATGGTGGAAAAGAATTTACCGTGGTTCCGAAAACTACTTGAACATACTCTTCCTCTTGGTGACGAATGTACTCCGAATGAGGGAAATTCTCTGTATGTGAAGCTCAAGGTATGCCGAAGTTTTTTTCATGAAAAATTGGATGCGACTTTGGATTCATGATCATTGTACTTTAAATGTAACTCGTGCTCCTATCTTCATATCCCCCACCATTCTATTACACATGACCGTTCAATAATCTTGGTGGAGTTTATGTTTAATTTTACGCCAACATGTAATCATGTGATGTAATCGAGGCATGGTGAAAGTACGCATGGAAAGTGAGGAGTCAGGCAGCTATTACTGAGGGAGACCATGGGGAAGATGCTTTAGCAAATTTGATTAAGTTGAGTGAAGTAATGTGTTGTGGAGCAAGTGCTCCAACGGTTTCCCTTGAGATCCTTACCTTGATTACCTTGAGATCGAGGAAGGTGTGTATCTAAATTGAAAAAGTCTAGCTTGATGCTGATGGTCTTCGCAATCAAATCACGAGCACAGCTGACTCTTCAGCTCAATAGTTTTTTATGTGATGATCTCGTCATACTTAGCATGGAGTACTTTCAATCCAGAAATAATAGATTAACGCACTTCCGCTCATATGATTGGCGTAAAAAAATCCTGAAAGTAACTCTAACTTTGCAGTCAATAAACCCGCGTCAGACAGTCGGTACGGTTCTTGCGTTATGTGGATGGAAGCTGTATTTCTCGATATATCATCCTATGCACTCGGCTGGAAAGAAGAAGCAGCATAACCAGCATTTCTTAGGATTCGATGACGATGACATTACGTCGGATTCCGATAGTGATAATGGTACTGCGGAAGATGTAAGTGTGAAAAATACTTCTGATCTACTGTGCTTTGTAAAACTACGAATTGCACTAGTTGGAAAGGTTGAAAGCGGTTTTTTTTTTCGCCGAGTTAGGGAGAGTTCGGAATCACTGACGGGCATGGCATTAATTCTGTAGGGTAATTTTTTTTGAATTCCTATACGTGAAGCTTCCGTAATGGTTTTAAACCGTAAAAATACTTTGGCTTTAATGTTTTTTTTTTCAGGAAGTAATGTTACGTCGAACGGGTAGTGTTGTCAGTGTTGATAATGTTCTAAATGGATTTCCTAATTGGTTAGACAGACTTTTGGAAGGATCAATACGACGGTATTACATTCCTGAATGGCCGGATAATCTCCGATGATTATGTCTTGTGTTTCTTGATGCGCCCATCCCGTTGAACGAAACAATCAGTCTTCTTCTAATCTGCATGTAGAGCTTTCATTATTTGTTGATTGCATTTATTTAGAATATCTAGTTTCATTTAACTAAGTCACCTACATTCTGATGATAGATTGAAGTGCTCCGACGACGTTGCTGTAGCATCTGAACCGGATTGCCTTTATGTTCATCAACTAGTGTATTTAATTAGTTGCTTTCAATCGCTATTAGGAATATAAGGCATTATTGAACAATCCTTCGTCTCTCTGATGCTTTTGAGGCATAATTGTTTTGTATGTATATTTTATCTCGCTATTTCGATTCTCACCCCATTTCAGTTGTCTTCGTCTTTAGTGTGCAATAATCGTGCAGCAAGCGCCAGTCAGAGTCGTTTACACCATTTTTTTTTGCTATTTATATGACTTTTAATAAAATATCTATGAAATATGTAGCTTCCTACAGACACGTTTTTCGGACTTTTATCTCATGCAAAATTTATTGCAATTAATTTTTTCTTTGTAAATTTTTATTTTGACCAATTCTTGCGCACTATAGTGCGCCCGGTTGTCAACATATGTAGTTGGCAGATGATGCCGTTGACCAGACCAGATGATTTCTCAGAAGTACACTTTCGTTCGAACATGATGTGAGTACAGTCCAAACTAGGAAATCAGATGTAAAAGATGCCTGACGGTGCTCTGGGAGGGATTCGTAAACGATTAAGAAGAAGATTTGCTGGACGGAAGGTGCTGATACGTGCTAGAGCTCAGCTGTGATAAATCGATGGGCAGCCGACGGTCGTAGTAGCAGCGCTTTCCATGTTCCGAGTTCTGCACTATTTCTGTTAACTTTGCGATTTGAGATGTTCACGGTTAAGAAGATTTGCTTTCAAAAATTATTACCGGGACTCAGTGCATCGCTCCTAATTGTCAAGGTTTTTATCTCACGGGTTCAGTTCAGGTTGTGACTCCCTTTTCTAGCCAATCACAAATTTCCGAAACTGTCATAGGAAATGCCTGAACCTCGCCCAAAGTGTGTGAAAAAGACGCTGCACGCTGGCCGAGGGTCACCGCCAGAATATCGCACCGGTACGAAAGCAGTTTTTCACTATGAGACGTTGAAACCGATAGATGTGGTGAAACCAGAGGTTGGAATGCCGGAAAACAGGTACGTCGAATTTCGCATTATATCTCACTTTATTTCGAGTGGGGCTTATAGTCAAATCTCAAGCATAGGCCATGATGTCATAGATAAACAGAGCCTCATTCGATATCCATCAGAAGTGTTTTGCGTTCCTCGGATTCGGCGGTATACAGTTATGGACATACTTATGCACGGATGTCTTCAATGCATTTAATGATAAGCTTATTTTTAATCGCTCATACTAATTCTGTTTTCGTCGAGACGCGATATTCTCTGGCACCCCGCCAATCTGTGGTGTCATCGCGTATAACTGAGACTTTGCCAGAAACATCACTCGAAATAAGTGAGTGCAATGATTCTCGAGATTGCATTCGGCTCAATCGTCGTTAAGAGATGATTATGAAGTAATTGACAATACAAGACGACCATGGCCAGATGGATATGGCAAGCCTTTGGAGCTGATATTTGGCAAAAAATTCCAACTGCCTGTGTTTGAAATATGTTTACGCTCGATGTTAGTCGATGAGGTACGTAACTTTAGTACATTAATTTATGATCACCGGTGCAATAGTCATCACTTTATCTGTCCTCATCCTAGTTGTCAGGCCAATAGAATATGAATTTTTAAGGGCTCCCAGTTTGGAAAGGGAAGCTCAAGGCCTTTATTACTTGTTTAAATGTCAAACCCTGTTTGCTCTCTTGTTGCCCCCAAGGTATTTTGATATCTCACTAACTGCGCATTCTTGGGATGGATGTACCATCCTTCATTCTCATGGATCATATGGAATGTATACGTTCTGACTTTATTCCACAGAAAGTCGCAGTACCTACGATTGAAGCTTCACCACTTCAATTTTAACAGTGACTCTATAACCTTCAGGTCTCGCAATTCGATGTAGAACTGACCGAGCTCTGTACATATCCGATGGTGTCGAAGAAATTGCGAGATCTGTCCAAACCACACGATAAAGGTGGCGACCACTCTCATGACTCACACATGTGTGCAGCTGCTCTGACGGCTGGGTAAGTTGCTGCATTCTTTTTATTCCTCCTGTTGGTAATGATGAAGTCACTTGAAGAACCGGCTATGCTGCTTTGGACGAGTTGATGCGAGATCCACGACCGCTGAGGTTCATAATTCATCTGTTATCCGTGATTCAACCTGAAGAATATGAAGCCGAGAGCTGGCAGTTAGGCACAGAGGAAAAGTTGGAATCTGTGGAAACATTACGATTACAAGGAAACCAGTTGTTCGCTCAGGTCTGCGTTTACTCACTTTTTTATTATCTCCGAAGCTGTTTAGCTTCAGATAACTTATGGCCTCTCTCAATTTTGAGAAGTTAGTGTAATGAAAATCCTGACGCGTGATGCCACATTACGTGATCATCGGCCAATCGCTTCGTGGCCAAGTAATACAAATCAAAGCAGCTAAAACCCACCTTTCATTTCATAACTATTTCGAGAAAAGCTCAAGATTGTTTAAATTCCAGAAGAATTTCAATGAAGCGATAGACAAATACAGAGAGGCGTTGGGTCGTCTAGATACTCTGATCTTGAGAGAAAAGCCAGGAGAACCCGAGTGGGAAGAACTCGATCAAAAAGTAAGAAATCTAGATTCCTTATATTCATGTTCTATAATAGTACCCGTATGTTTTTTTTTTTTTTTACTTTTCACGTAGAGAAAGAGGTCTTACAGAATGTCTCCTTGTATTCGAACCTCTCGCAGTGTTATCTAAACGTTGGCAATATGTACGAAGCTGCGGAAACAGCAAGCGAGGTCAGCGCGCATCAGATTTTTTTCTTTCCAAGTCTCAGTTTTTTTCTTCGTGTTACAGTCATGTTTCTAGAATGGAAGGATAATGGTTGAGACCAAATAAATGACAGTGAGAATGTGTAATACCTAATCGATAAGAGCCTTGCTCATAGAGTTGAACGGTTTGTTAAGCTCCATATGTTGCCCCTGACAAAGTATGCCATACCTCTGGGTCCGGGAACTTCTCCCCTAACACGGCGTCGCACACGCCGCACACACCGCCTATGGCTGCTTTCAGACCTCAACGATTCATCCGTCCGTCCGTCCGTCCGTCCGTTCGACGCGTGCTGCGACGGCGGCGCCTGACCGTTGTCGACACACTGGATCACTTGCCAGCGCTGTCAACACTACTCTAGCGACCGCCGTCGCAGCACGCGCTGAACGGACGGACGGACGGACGGACGGTCGTCGAACTCTGAAAGTAGCCTATCGCAGGATTGCGATGGAAGATTGGAGCGCGCAATTTGTGAGGTAGGGAGTCCTTTAATTATTTGAATTGGCTGGCCGCTCTTTTCAATTCCAATGCGGTCTTGATGGTCGTTTATATAGGATTAATTACATTTAAATTGATCAAGTCTGATAAACATGAAAACTAAAGAGAAACAGAAAAAAAAGATCAAGTCCAATGAAAAAGCAAGCCAATCAACGAAAAATATCGCGTCCTATCGTTTGACGGGAGGCGGGGTGAGTACGGTAACTGCAGTGGCATTTGCCGCATGCCGCAAGTGAGAATGCCGCGATAGGGGAGAAGTTCCGTTACCCCCATACCTCTCTCCCTTCTTCTACCAATCTTACGCTATGTGTATGGTATCACTCTTCTACGAACATATTTAAAGGCCGGGTAAAGGCGGCTCATAGGCTTCCTCAAGGTACAACCCTTTCATAAACTGGGATGTTTATTTTTGTTAGTGGCTGATTGTGCGACACTGACCCTTTATCCCTATCCAAGTACGTGCGCCTTTTAGCTTTTTACCAGCCTGACGTAGGAACGGAGGCTACTAGAATGGGTTTAGTTAGTAGTCGTTCCGCACAATGTGTCCCTTATTCGCAAGCGTCTGTCCACACTCCTCGGTTGGGGGAGTGATGCACAGAACCGGTACTGGTCCGTTATTCAATGAAATAGCAGAAGCATACGGGAATACGACGTTCTTCCATGAAAATGGGTTTATCTTGCCTTATTGTAGAAAATGTTTTCATTATAATGGTTTGTTCAGGTACTCTCTAGGGATCCCGACAACGAGAAAGCGCTTTACAGAAGAGCAAAGGCACGGATAGGTTGCTGGCAACTGAATGAAGTATGTTAGAGCATGCTTTTTTTGAAAAGGCATGGAATTCTCGAAGGAGCGGTTGGAAATTTGCCAGCGACTCGGACCCATTTGATATTCGTTCACCGGCTTTTTTTCAGGCCGAGGAGGACTTGAAAAAATTGGCGGAGTTACCGAACACCAAACACTTAGTACAGGTCGAACTTGCAATTCTGGCTCAGAAGAGGGCTGAATTGGCTGCCAGCAAAAAGCAGACCTATTCCAAGATGTTCAAGTAGGAAAGCCGGCTTCTTTTTGTGAAGTGCTTTTCATCTGTGAATGGCTTTATATGTGCTGGAAGTGATTGTTTATACAGTGTGTGCGTCATAGCCGCAGTATAATTTTCTGCCATATAGACTCTATGTGTATAAGCCCGGGATCACTGAAGGAACTGATTCAAGGTCGCACTCTCATTTCCTTGTTTGATTTTTATTGAAAGCTGTTGAGCAGAGATCAGCGGTCCTGATATGGTTTGCTTTTTTTCGTAATTTCATGTGTATGAATTCTTTCATATTACCCAAGAATGGCGATTTATGGGCAAAACTTTAGTCTCGGATGGGACTCGAACCCGTACTTGTGCTCTCCGGGCACCGTGCTCTACACCTTGCACTACCGAAACCCCGCTTGCCCTCTTTCATGATAACTTCCTAACGAGACAATCCGAAACTTTCTTTGAATTTCCTCTTAAACACTTCCTTCTTGCTCATTTTATATGTTTTGGTTTATTCTCCCACGCTGGACCTGCCTGGGCTTTCATCTTCGTCATCTTGAGTCCTTTAAGGTTTTAACCGGCTATTTGCAATCCGTTTTTCATGACGTCATCTTCGCCAGAATCTCTTGCAAGCCTATCTTTCCGTGAAAGTTGTCAAGTTTGGCCAGAATTCGTTCCATCTGCTCGATGTCCGGTGTTAAAAGCTCAATGCCGTTTGCAAAGCGGACATGATGTGGGTAGCGGCCGTCGAGCTTCACTCCCATGTGTTCTCAATTCAAGTGACTCATGATTTGCTTGAAAGCGGCACTGAACAGCTCGGGCGAGGTATTACCAACTATAGCTCTTGCAGAGGAGTTATGGAATAGGGCTATAGGTGATCTTATGCTGAAGCACTTCCGTCCCCACTTGTTCTCTTCATCCCAACTATTTTGTTATGACCACTGTCATTCTATCCACTCTTATCAAGTGATCAACCTTGAAAACTTGTTATGTCTGCAATCATTCCTTATCACTCCTTTAATACATTTGTGCAATAGATCGTCGACCGGCATACAGTTTCCTACAACTTATAGCGGCTTCTATCCTATCCATTAGCTAAATACTTTTCGATTATCCAACCGCCAGCGTAATATTTCCTTCTCCTAGCTCTATGATCGTCTTCTTTAATCCCTTTGTTATCCCGCTTCCCGTGTTCTACTCGTCTTTCCTGTCTTCATCTTATTCCTTTACTTGTTTTTTTGGATTACTGTGGTACCTAGCCCCAGCTGTGTGCACTGCTGAAGAGATTACGTTGGCCCTGTCACTGGCATTCACTACAACTGCGAAAGAAAGTTGAACCACTTCTGATTTGCGGGATATATATGCTGTTCCTGTGATTCTCGGGCTTGCAAATTCTGGAGGTTCCTTGCCCAGGTCTCCCTGGAGAGCTTACTAATCGTTGAGAGGTAATGGATACATCCTTCTTAACCAATCTATATAAGACTCTTCATGCTATTCACTGTGATCTCAACGTTTTAAGCATTTCTTTGTTACTCGTTCGTATGTTTGGGTTGATTGACACCTTCCTCAAAAAAATTGTTCAATTCCGATCCGTTAACTTGTATACTCTAATATCGGTATTGTTTTTACGCGTATTCTATAAAGTTTATCGTATAGATATGCTGACATTTATTTTGAAATATAGGAGCAGTTGGGTCAAATCTTATTGATTCGTCGTTTTTGTCGTTTTTCAAGCGTTGGTCGTTGCTAGTTTGATCACGGTTAGTATGTAATTTGCCCTAGTCATTTTTGTACAATCGACTGAATTCCTTTTTATTCATCTAAATTGTATTGTGTTCTGTTGTAATTTTTGAATTTGTGAGTTAAAATTTTTATTTACATACCTTCTGCTTTGTTCATCGGAAAGGACGTATGACCACTTTTGCTATCTTTTGCGGATTTTTTGTGCACAAAAATGCGTATTGATCATACGCACGTGTCACTGATACTCATTTTCGATTGATCAGTTTCTGAGCCTGATGCCCATTTGATTGTGAATTCGACTGAAGCGATTCCGTGTGTTCAGCATGTCCACTGTACATCTTTTCGTCATTGCTGTATCTATGGGTTGCGTCAGAGCGCCTCCACCTGGTGATAGAGAACAAGGGAATTCGGTTAGGCATTATTTTTTTATTATAAAAATGACTTAAATTCAAGATGGGTCTTTCTGAGGTGCGCCATGCATTTGATTCTTCTCGAAATCTATTGAGGTCTATTTGAGCAATGTGTTACTCAGGCAGGCTAGTATTCAAATTAATCAGCAGTTTTCATTCCCAGGACCAATTGCGATAGCTTACTTGTGATTGCTGTTGATGCCGAGGTTGGGTTTGCGCAGATCTAAGCCGGTATTTTACCGCTATATCATGGATGACGACTTGCGCCTTCTGTTACCCTCCTACCTCCACCCCGTTGAAGTGAATATGAATAGTACATGCGACAAAAGATTCCACAAATGGAAGTGGCTCACCATTTTGGCTGAACGTAGTTGGGAATTTTTTTGGCAATCATATGCTTACTGGCAGTAGATTGCTAGATTTTAATATAATTTTAGTGAAAAATAAGCCGATTTCCTCAAAACGCTCTCATCCTGTACTCAAAACGATGAGTATAGGATTTTCCTTCGGAACTAGCGTGCATATTTTATAAGATACATCTGGATTTTCATCGTCATAGACAAGTTTTTCACATTTACCTTAGAGTGAGGCAAATTTCATTACAATTAACCTAGAATCCTGATACAATAGTTCAGTTGTAGTGCTCTGAAGGACATCTTCAATGTTGATTATCTTAAAAAAGTCGTATTATGTTATTTCAGAGATGCGTTCGAGGGGAAAGAACGAAATGGCGATACGAGGGCACAAATTGCAAAACTTCTCCCCGGCCGGGAATTGAACCCGGGTCTCGCACGTGACAGGCGCGGATACTCACCACTATACTACCGAGGACTGCTCGGTGGGAGGCATTCGTTGCTTATAACAGCACTCCGCGAGGTTTATCGATCGCCCTGGAAATTCCAATTGCAAGTTCACGCGGCTGCCTCTGAGGATCTCCCTGCACTAAAGAGTGCGCGCTCCTCGAGAAATGTGCCAGAATAACTCAAGGTCTTTATTTACCCTTTCCTAGGTATAAAAGGGAAATTGAAATGATTATGTAGAATTGAACGATCGAAAGTACATCCTGTGAGATCCTTCTCAGTTCCAAAGTTTTGAGTGTCCTGAATCAGCCATTTCGAAAGCAACGAGGAGTTGAGAATGTGGACTGAATCCTTTATTAGGTTTGGTGTTCTCGTAAAACGAGAAACCGAAGATGGCGGAACTGGTGAATTGTCCTAATCTCCCTACTTCCCTAACCCACCCCTGACGTTTTATAGTTTGACTCAGTAAGAAGGACCAGGGGATTACACCAGGTGAAAAAATCGAGTCACATCAAGTACTACGCGTATTTGCGTCTGCATATAACCGGTTTCCCCGGTTACTATGACTGGGGAATAATGTACTCCAAAGGGGAGTCGGAATGTGGTCTGTCCTTACTTTGAGCAGTTAATCTGACTGTGTAATACTTTTATGGGAATTTGATTTATGAGCAGGCCATTTACTCACCCATGCTATCCAACCAGGAATTGAGTTTCATTCAAATGGGGATAGGCTGTAGATGGTTGGAGGGAAAAAATGGGAAATTGAAGGAAATGCGGCCTCATTCGCAGATGGCTGTCAGCTCTTCGAAGGCCAAAATTTTTTCCCAATTCATAATCCGCATGATTAATCCGGTCGTGTGCTGTGCCTTCAAGTTGATTACTGGATTAGACATCCATTCGATTATCTATGCGATTCTAGAAGGGAGTCAGGTGCATGGTGCAACCAGAAGCTGACCAATCTCAAGCGCTTTATGCGTGAATTTTCTGCCGATATTTAGATTGAATCAATGCGAAGTAACGCGGACCCATTGGAAAGGCCTGTACATCTGGACGGTCTGTTATTGGAACGTGATGGTGAGCTGAACAAGGAGTTCCGTCAAGAGGTATGACTGTTGACGGAATACAACTCTCTACATCACTAAATCACTTTACTTAGGTACTGCTTGGTGGTGGGAAACCTAAGGATTCTGCAGAACTACGCGAGATGGTAAAGAAGATGTTCTATGAGTACGGCAACAATATTTTCACTAACAAAACAATCACAACATGGCCAGCATTTCAAGGAACAGCGTGTTGCGTGGCGCCTATGAAAGCGATTATCGATCGACTTCGTTGATCATTATTTCGCAGACGCACACCTTCTACCGCCCTAGTTTGGCCACAATTCATGTCGGCTAATAAGATAATTGGTGAAAATTTATTTAGGGGTCACCCCTCCTCTATAACACTAAGCGCTGGAGCGTGGAGTGAAGGGGTAGTCGGCTTTGCGAGTCCGTGATGGCGCCTGGGGATGTTCCCTATCTAGGAAGTACAGTTTTCTACCTATGCCTTAGAAGAAGTGCCGGTGTGGATGAGTCATACGAAGGATCAATTCGTACGCCATTCCAACTTTTCTACACTAGGTAATCACCTCAACTACCCCGGTGAACTCTCCCTCTTAAAGCTCAAACGAATAGCTCTTCACCCATTCTAATATAAGAACAGTCTCCAAGTATAGTTAACCGACTAACCCTCCTTCTCTGCACTCTAGCGCTCAATATTGGATAAGAACGGTGCTTTCCCCTTCAGCTACATTTTCCCAGGCGACCTGATATTCGTCAGTTTTCTCGAAGAACATTGTGTTGCGTTGCGTATGATGGGCGGTTATCGATCGAAATCGCTTACTGTTGTTCCTTTTTCCGCAGACAGTGGTCTTTTGAATAATCCAGCTCAAGCTCAGCTTATGCTACCATACTTTGCATAGTTAAGTTCATAATGTTTGTTTTACAGATTTTGATCTATGAATCTTTTCAGGGCCGATCAGAACAATGACGGCGCATTATCATTGGAAGAACTTGAGGAGCGTATCATTAACAATACTAGAGCTCATCTGGAAGAAGCGGTCATGGAAGCTCAATCTCATTTCAATATTGTAGACACAAACAAGGACGGTCAGGTACGGCTAGTTACGAGTGGTTGTGCACAGGGAAGAAAACAGGCAGTTACATATCTAAGCTTGTATAGTGGGCCTAGAGAATGTACAAAGGGGAACGAGGGTCAATTCTTCGGCTTCAAGCGATACCAATACTTGCTCCTTTTTTCGAAGCCCCATGCATACCCATTCCACCATTAGAACTCGGAGCACCCTGTCTCAGTCTTTCGTATATGAACCGTAGTTTATCAGTTAGAACACCTACGCCGAACTGTAATTTTCATACTTTGCAAGTGAACTTTCGCACGACCTCTCTCCATAGGCGTGTGTCAGATGGGGTGGAGCGCTATATTGCTGGAGTATTTCACACGAAAAAAGAGTCAGGAGCCTTAGGCGATCGCATGACTTTGCCTCTGCCACTCTATCTTTTCCAGAATTTAGAGAAGAGCAACCTTTCTGAAAAAGGCACGATCCAGGCGGAGTAGAACGCTCCACGTCTACAAATTTGCAAATCCAAAACCCAGAGGGCGCTATGGCGTTTTTGATAGGAGAGCGTTGAGCATAAAAAAGAATTTTCGGGTTTTAAACTTCTGATTTGCATTGCAGATGAAGGTAGGATTTGTCGGTTCTAGGAATGAGTCCTAATATAAAAGAAAGAAACTTCATTTTTGAAATGGAAAAAAAATGTAATTGTAAGTTCTGTGAAAGTGCGCCGCTTCTTTAACAGTCTGGCGTCTCTTATGCGGGTGTTCTCTTCGTCGGCATCAGCGCCGTACTATGAATGCGCTCACGGTGTGCTATGCTCCTCCATCATAGTTTGGAGGCACTTCTAATAAAGAAGACCTAATAATACTGCAGAGATAAGCGACTATTATGGACAGTAAGTGATACGGCAAACAGTTGATAAACAACTGCGACATGGCGCTGAACGATCACTCGTCGCATGAAGCGGCTTTGAGGGTGTCGTGCCGTCATAGCTACTGTAGCCGGTTGTAATTAAGCGAGAAAGTATCGTTAGCAGGGGATATGCCTCAACAGTCATTATCCAGTGATAAAATGTGATAAAAGATGTGAAGTAATTCCATCTGCGGCACCAGTGTTCAAGGGGCCCTCTAAAGGTCTGGATTCGCAATGTCTGTCGTAGCTCGTTCGACTGTGTTTCAGATATCATGGCAGGAGTATGAACCACACTACCTCTCTAACGAATCCCCTAAAGATGGACACGAACACGAAAGGGTCGACAATATTGGTAAAGTCAAGCGCTCATTTCTGTTTGATGATTTTTGCATCATTAATTTGGCTGCTTTCATAGTCCGCGATTTGGCCCGCAAGCGAGCGAGGGCGGCGCTTGCCCCTTGTTTACAACTGAATCTTAATCGATATCGCCGGACGAGTAGTCCCCCGTCGCTCGCTCGCGCGCTCGAGGGCCAAAACGCGGACTATGAAAGCAGCCATTCATTTTTCATCTACGAAGACTTTTTCAAAGATTCCGTCGCTGACGCTGTGCGAGCCTTCGAGAGTGCTGATCTGGACAAAGACGGTGCACTTGACTCTAAAGAATGGCTAAGGTAGGTCTAATTCTACTCGGATATTGTAGTTCACAAGCCCGGGAGCCAAGTCTCTGATCAAGACAATGAGAACTTATTAGGTTTGAGCGTAAAACGTGGAACAACTACACATCTCCCATTGGTGTTCGCATGCTGAAGGGGAGGGACTTGTGTATGGAATGGACGCCCACTCTCTCAGCCCACTTTCGATTCTAATATTTCATAAGCTTCCTGGTCCTCCCCTTCCCAAATCTAAATGGGTAAATCTCTACATATCAAATGAAGGTGAGGGCTCAAACTGTCGAGTGAGGCGAATGAACACGGTAGCAAACTTTCCCATTATCACACAAGTGATCCGGGGAACAAATACTGAGACGTGAGTCGCCCAAACTAATACCCTTTATCCTTCTGCGTGGATGTTTGGCTGTAGAGGCCTATTTGCGAAAAATACTCATCAAACACGATTGCTATACATGCGCATTTATTGATTGTTGAAACATGGCACATCCCAACAGAAACACTTTTGACTATTTCGGCGGATACTACAGTACCTACAATTTCTATGTACAATCACTTCAGCTAGTTACGTTCCTACAGGTTTTTTCATCCGGAACACAATGGGGATTCTTTGAAAGAAATGGCTGGCGACATCCTAAAGCTACACGGTAGGTTCGACTTCATCCTCAAGATAGCGTTTCAGTATCTTTTGAAGAATAAGTTTAAAATTTATTCGATGCATTAAAAAGTAGTGATCGCTGACATCATGGTCACAGCAACCTTCTTAGAACTCCTTTTTCTGGATAGCAAGTTCTCTTAAAAGGGAGTAGTCTAAAGGAATGCTTAAGAGCTACAATTTTATTTTTGAAACAGAAGTAGCTGAAAGGCGATGTAGATAAATGGTATTGTGATATATAGAAAGGATATGATAGCTCTTTCTTTTACTAGATGCCAATGGTGACGGGAAAATGACCAGGGAGGAGTTTTCTGCTGGTCCTAAATCAGAAAAGGAAGACGACGAGGAACCGGATAGTAGAAGAAAAGCGAAAAGGTGGTCGAATGATGAATTATATGAATTGCTTTGAGCCTGCGTTATTCATTGATTGCATTCCACAGATTAGGGATCACCAGTTCGTGATGCGTGCGGTTACGTCACGGTCTAGTGTGAATCGATATATCGAGCCCCACTTCACCAACCGCGTTGTTAATCTGTACTTCCATATTTATAATTAAGTGCATAAGCATGGCATTTAAGAGAATTCGAATTTGACAAACAAATTGACGTCAACGGTGACGGTGTGGCCACTATCGAAGAGATTTTCGAATATATCAATCCAAGAAATGCTAGGAGTCTTGCCGCTGAGGTAAGTCGAATTACACTTGATTTTTACGTCTCTCGTCCAGTACTCATCGATTCACATGCATCACTCGTTTCAGTAGTGGTAGAAGAACGAGTAAACTGTCACATAAGAATACGATTTTTTGGCACTATTTACCCTTTACTGCCCCATTTTGTCGAGAATGGGCTGCATTTCTATCGAATTCTTCTCAAGAAGATGAAACCGTCTAGAAACCTGCCTAGAAGGGTAATTTTACCCGTAGTCCACGAATATTGCATCCACTCGTCATAAAGATGCCTAGTGCTCCCGCCACAGGCGCCGGCGCCAAATGGAGCTGGGTCACCAATCTTGCTAGAAACTTGAGGCATAGCGGGCATTTTCACGACGAAAGGATGCGATATTCGTGTTCTACGGCCCCTCGAGGCAGGTTTCTAGTCGGTTTCACTGGAAAAAATTTGATAGAAATCCAGCCTATTCTCGACAAAGTGGGCAGTAAAGGGTAGATAGTGCCGATTTTTTTTTACCAGTGATTCCAATCTCCACTGTAGCGCGAAGTGTAAACTCTTCTTACTGTTATTTTTTTTTTGTTACTTCCTCCCATGGCACGTTGCTTGAGTCCGCGTCACTCCCTCCATTACTCACGTTTTACAATGCGCCGTATTCACGATTACATATTGTGCTCTAGGCATCCGAACTTATCGATTCAATAGATAGCGATGGTGATCGGAAATTGACGCTAGTTGAGCTTCTGAAGCAGGATCGACTGGTCGAATTTAGCCCATTGCTTTCAGTAGCAGAGACTCTTCATGAAGATCTCTAGCTTTAACTCTTCCATAGCGATCTTTTTGATCTATGTATTGTTCATTACTCTTTCACCCATCGGATTTTGGTTCCAATTAGTTCAAAACTGAAAAACCTCCACTACAAAACTACCTACATCAAATGGTGCTCGGATTACTTTTCCTTAGGTATTGTATCGTTCAGAACGAAATATCAGTTCTTCAAAACGTGCCCAGTTATGATAAAGCTGCTTAATTATTGATCCGAAACTCCCACGACCGCGCCGTAACTGTTCGCGCTTTTGTAGAACTTTTCTACCCAAGGTTCTTCTAAGCTATACGAGAAATCACGGGAAAACTCTTGCCTTTCTTATTGCTCATCCGTTTTCTAACTAGTTGTTATGAATGTATTCTTTTTGTTCTTGTGTTCATAAATTGTAAATTAAATTTTTGTGTAATAAAAAATTAGTTGCTATGGTTGTGCTTATAACCCACCATTCCTATTGCACACACAACTTCATGAGACTTAGCCTTGAGTGATCGCTCTACGGCCTAATATGGGCGATTCCCATTCCACACGATTATTGGGAAAACTTGGTTGAACAAGCTTCATAATAATACAGTATCCGTATGTTTATAAAATTGAATTAGAAATACTATTAAAGGTAAACTAATTGACAAAAAATATTACAAAATTCTAGTTCTAGAACGACATCACGAGGAATTGTTGTTCATAAAGTCAAACGATCTCGGTGGCAAGGACCCAAATCGAGGACACAGTTGCTTAGTCATTAAGCTAAACTAGAAACGGAAAAGTGAGCTGTTCATGAACAGATCAGGCGGAAGAAGATACAAAGTCAATGTACATCGAGTGTTTGCGTGAATACTTAATGCTCTAGTCTTCTAGAAAATACATGATCTGAATAACGGACAAAAAACACTCAAGCGACCGGGGAGTATACAAGAATTTGAAGGGGCATGCGCTATAATAAAAGTCGTGTAATAATCATGCAACAAAAGTAAAATGAAGTTGGATACACAAAAGAACAGGATCTTCACCTTAAGCATTGGCCCACATCTCAAGATCCTCAAGATCCTTGTCATGGTCGGTGGTTTTCGCGGGTTTGGCTTTGCTGCTTGCTGGGAGGTCAGTAGAAGGCGCATCGGGTAGCACAACCGGCGTTGGTTGTACATCCAACAGCTGTTTATCCAGTTCCTCCTAAAGAACAAGAACGGTAAAGTGCGTTTTGACTGGAAAACTCAACTCAGTGCAGATTCTACAAACCTGCTCAAGTTGCTCAAGTTCCCGCAAGAGCTCTTCATCATCAATTGCTCTGTCGAAACCTACAGGATTTGAAATCGCCTCCGCAATTTCGTTGGCAACTTCTTGTTGCTCGGCTATGTCTTCCATTAGATCATGGACCTGAAAATCGTTAGAAAAATGTAGGTAAAGACACTGGTAATAAAGCAGAAGTGACAGTCAATACATAGAATCGGATGAATTGAAATAGTCGAGTTAGATCTCCAAATCCATTCCATCGGAGGGGCAAGAAGATGGATTTATTCATCCTACCTGGTCGATATCCATATTGTTGTGAGCCGCCTTCAAAGCTTTACTTGCTCCTCCCATGACTTGCAGAACTTCTGCATTGGTAGAAGCATTTTCCAGCGCTTCTCTCTGAAATGAACCGACCAACATTAGTACATCAGTATTTTGTCATAGTAGAATGACATGGATTATGAAATAAAGTCCAGGTGAAAGGTACTTTGCTTCTATTACTCGTCTACGTGAATGGTACCCTGCTTGTATTACTCGGTCATATTAAACGTTTGCAGCCCTTTCTCATCGTATTTTGGGCCACTTCCCAAAAATGCCCTAAGTAAACAACTCGCTCTATTAACCCATTGACGACCATGCAGTCCACATGTGGACTGCAATTGTAGTTTTTGTTTTATTCATCTATATTTCAATTTTTTTACAATTTTTCTTTTCAAAACATTACATCAGGTTTAGATGAAACCACATGAAGCGTGACCCTCGAAATTCTTCTAATCTTGCGATTGTAAAGGTGTTTTTTCGAAGGTGTACATTACCTTGGTGAATTTTTCGTTCGTTGAACAACTTTGAAAAATGAGATTTTTCGAAAAGACGATCGTCATATCGTCATCAGCATTTTGTCTGTCATCGACCAAATGCATAGCTCGTAAATATTCCCCCAAAACGATTTCTGGTAATGATTGAAGTCATAATTGAATGACCACTAGACTGAGTGCCGGTTCTATAAAAAAGATCAATAATCACTCACTGTGGGTATTCTTTTCAAACCCATTCGAAGGAACATTCCGAAAACTTATAAATATCTCTTATAAACTTTAAAAAAACGGTCAGGCTGGACTATGAGAGTGGACGAAAAGCGCGCCGGTTCCTCGCGGCAGTTTTCCCGCAAAACGTCATGGTCGTCAATGGGTTAAACATTACAAAGTAAATGAAAGGTCATTCCCGGTTCAGCCCTACAGCAACGATAAGTTAATCAAAACATCACGCGAATCAGGTGATCCACATTATAGGCCTGGGCGACACAAAAAAAGCAAAAAAAAAAAAAAAGATTTACAAAAAGCGTACCTGAAATTCAATAGTTTGTAAAACTCCATCAATGTGGTTGAGTTGTTTCTCAAATTGCTTCTTCCTACCGAGGGCATGAAGAGCGAGCCGCTTGTTCTTTGTGCCATGTTTCACTGCTGTTGCCACTTCCTGAAAGCATAGGAATTTATACTTTTGCACTTACAATTAGGTATATTTGAGAAGAAAGATAAGATAACTGATAAGGAACTCAAAGTACGTTGCAAATACAGACAAACAGTCTACTTAGTTTTCTTTAGATTGACAAAACTTCTCCTCCCATCCACATTCTACATTATTTTTTTGGGTTTTATGAAAGATCTTATGTTTTAATGAGATGATTGAGTGACTTTTAAAGCCCCATGGCAGCTGGTAGTATCATAAATTCAGCTGATGAATAGCAATCCGGAAACTATCCGAAACCGGATTCATGAATCTTACACGTGACACCTCAGCGGGGCCCAGCGTCACCCTATCAACGTGAGTCAATCCCCTAGAATTGAAGCGATCGACCCATCAACGAAAACAATCTGCTGGTGATTATATGGCCGTTCTTCTACTGATAAAAGAGCGCAATAAACTAGTGGTTAGAAGGGCGATTTTGATGGAAGAGGGCAGCACCAACATTCCAAAAGCGGCCATCCGATCCCATTTCTCAACGAAATTTAAAGCAGTCCAAAACCTTTCAATTCACGTCGTAACGTGAGGGTTCATAGCTTCAATATCTTCATATCCAACACAACAGCTCCCTGAAACTGTTCTGTTCATCCAACCTTGCACGAGAGTTCAGAGACCAATGAAATTCAAATGCATGCCACGATGTAAAACGATGCTCCTGCCAAATGATAGGCAGGCGCTGATTGATCAATGCGTCGCCCTATATCTGACAGCGTGGGGGAATGAGCTGAGTCAGCAGTGCCACAGCTCAGACTCAGACCTTTTCGATATCATCGACGGAAATTACGAAATAATGTGGCCATGAAAAAAGGAGACACGATTCAAGAACAGAAAAGTGATCAGCCACATACTACGAAATCATAATGTTATTCATACAAAACAAGTGTTTCCACCAAAGTAACTAGTAATCGACATCAAAGTAGTTGACATCGAAAACAGGCAAGTGGTTAGCACATATGACATCCGAATAAGGCTCCGCCGGCTCTGCAATAAATTTGCGTACCACTGTATGGTAGGGTTAGGCTTTCCGGGATCTGCATAATTCAGCTAGCCATCAGACAAAATGTGATGAAAGGGCAGAAATCCGCAGCCTTCACCCGCTTTTTTAAACCAATATTTGCAAGCTCATGAAGAATAACGTGGCAGATTTACAGACCATTTGTGTTAAGGGGCCGATACATTTGTGTTAAGGTGCCGATACCAAATGCCAATTTTTTTTGGCGAAATCTGATAGCTTCAATACAAGAACTTTTAGAAAGCGTCTGCTATGGGGAAAAACTTACCTGGCTGGGTTTGAAATAGAGTACACCAAAAACCAGAGTACTAAAATAAACGGCAGCTGTTAACGAAGCAGTATGCTTCCAAAGAAATTCGAAGTGCACAAATTCGTGTGCAGAACCAGTCTTAATCCAACAGCTGACTCACTCATTAATTATCATGGGGTAAGATTGTCGAAGTGAGTGATCAGGTGAGTTTACACTGTATATAGAAAACTGTGTTGGGTAAGGTAGAGCCCAAAAGTGATAAGAAAGCTGATCGACCATTACCATGGTGATCAGGGAAAGATTCATTACCAGTTAATAACACAATAACACGAATAACTCTATTGAATGCAACATATGAGCCAAATTTTAGCAAACTAACTGCTCAACAGTTGGAGTAACAGACAACAAGTCAGCAAAAGACTTGCACTGCACTTATGCATATGATCCATCGATTTCTTTTACCTTTAACTCCCATGAGCCCGTGCCGTTCAAACTAGGGCAATGAAGGTCGAGCGAGCCGGTAGTAACGAAGAAGCTTGCTCTAAGATGGTGGATTAGAACCGACGGAGCTGACAACCCAACAATCGTTAGGTGAAGTAGCTTCAAGCATACATGCATCTATTGATTTTGCCTGATGCTTGCTGCATTATTTCATAGGAGCTATTTCGTCGGCTTAAATAAAAGCAAAATATATAATCATTACAAAAACTTACGTCTTTGATCTTCTTCTCCAAGAAATCCTGCTTTTTTATGAGCATTTCCTCGGTTTCACGCAATTTCTGAATCGCATCTTGCGTAGATGGGGCTACCTCCTGCTTCTTCCCCCCGAAAATCTTACCAAACAGACTCATCTGGAATTTTCAAAGCTTTTCATGACTTCCAAGAATAAGACGTACAACCATGTTCAGCTCGTTAGATGTACGGCTGCTTAAGTAAGGAAAACGATAAGAAATACGAAAATTATAGAAAATAACGATAGTTCGAGGACAGAAGTGATGCTTACGGGTTGGGACTTCTTTCTTCGAGACATAACTGATAAATGGACCTTATCGAACCGACAAAACTGAGAAATGAAGTTTTAAAGTAAAGGCGGCGGTGACTGTGAAATAAGCCGTGTGATTCAGAAAAGCTGTGACGTCATCAGCTGGACCAGTGCCACTGCGTAGCAACCCGCGCCCTATAACAGTCGGTAGCCTGCTACGCAGCTTGAATTTTACACATTGCTTTCGTTCCGAATTTTCTCGTTTTTGGACATTTTCTCACAAAATTCTTTATGGGCAGTGTCATCCACTAGAATTAGTTGATTACTGAAATAGAGATGTGTTTGAGTAGGAATTATACCGCCTGAGGCTTTGATTCTTCCTTTTCTGCTCTTAGGCACAAAATCGATAATTTGTTTGTTTGTCCTGCACGGTGCAGGTGTATCACGAGTGATTGCCTGTTTTGCTTTTATCTAACTTATCGATTTCAATCTTTCTTGTTTAAGAAGTTTCGAATTCTCAAGTGGGAAACATGGATAGGAAAGCCATCGCCGAGAAGATCAAAAAGTTGCAGGCAAATGCTGAGAATGTTCAACTTGGTGGCAAAGTAAGTAATGGTGCTTTTGCTTTGTATTCTTGACGAAGAATGCTTTCACCATGTCCAAAATTAGGAGCTTAGCCCGTTTGTTATTTCATATGATAAACTTATTTTATTATGAATTTGTACTGTCCTCATATTTCTCCATTCCACTTGCTTCTTAATGTTATTCATTAAATTGTAATGGTTCAGGGAACCCCTAGAAGGAAGAAGAAGATTGTTTTCAAAACTGCTGCTGCCGATGACAAAAAAGTTCAAAGTAATTTAAAGAAACTGTCAGTAACAAACATTCCTGGTATCGAGGAGGTGCGGATACATTCTTTCTTTATGTTTTTGCTTATTCTTTTACATTAATTAGTTTAAGTGTTGGTATTCCAGGTTAACATGATCAAGGATGATGGAACAGTTATTCATTTCAACAATCCAAAAGTACAAGCTTCTGTTCCTGCTAATACGTTCTCGATCACTGGAGCTGGAGAAAATAAACGTACGTTTTGTCTTAAGAAGGTTGAGTGTTCATCTGCTGAACCTTCTTACATAGATTGGCTTTTTTCAGAGATCACAGATATGCTTCCTGGAATACTTAATCAACTTGGACCTGAGTCGCTTACACATCTTAAAAAATTGGCCAATAACGTTACAAGTCAGTTCAAACCTGCACCTGCAGATGACGATGTTCCAGGTTAGTTTCTGACAAAGGAGGCCTTTCGAGCCCCTTCTCAACCACTTTTGTTCAAAACTGGTATTGAAAATTGAAGCCAATTCGCTTATCATGCCGCGCTTTTTTGTACATAGTACCTTTCGAGTCTGGCAAAAGCAGCTGGCTTTGCCTCATTCTAGTATTGTGGTCGACTTTTTGCCCAAGCCATAACCCACAAGAATTTTTTTTTCGTCGTCGAGCTGAACGAAGGTTTTCTTATTGACAGAGTTTACTAGAGTATTAACTCTATTTCTAAAAATGGCTGTTCAATAAACAGAAATTTTGTCAATAATTTGCTTTCCCTGCTCTTTTAGTTAAAAGTTTATGAGAGGCATCTTGCAGTAAAGCATTCTTATTCGGGGTCCTATTCCTTTCAGATCACTGGGGGCCACTCGTTCTCAAATATCGCGTTTAAAAATGGAAATAGATGAATAGAAAATGGAAAATGGCGGGAGTATCATTTTGGGGTTACGTGATTTTCACGGGTTCACGGGTTAGATGCGTGTCTGCCTGGCATAAGAACGCTCACTTTATAAACAATATGGTGGCCCTATGACAGGGAGCAATTCACGTGCTGTTAGTCAGTTGTGCAACCGTCTATTCTATAAGCGTCTTTCTTTTTTGACTTGAGGTTTTAGACAACGCTTGAATAGGGGGTCGTGTGTGGGTTGTGGTATTGGGTTCGCGCCTTATAATCCTGTGCTGCTCGGATGCCTTCTTTAACATTGACATCTCTCATTTGATCTATACTGAGATCACCTCCATCTTGCAATACCTCAAGATTTCGTAATATTATGCGCTCAAACCCCTACAAATTTTGCGACCGTTTTTGCAAATGCATCAGTAATGGTCGCATTGCATGAGTTAAATACCATCAATAGATTTCTATTACAGATATTTTGATCTTATTGTTTATATGTGTTTTTTCAGATCTCGTAGGGGATTTCGATGAGGCTTCTAAGAATGAGGCAAAGGCTGAAGAGCAGAAGGCTTAACTCAACGATTCCGGTTTCCCCATCAAGAACGTGAAGACTAAACTCTGCAACCGTCGTTAACTTCAATCACTCGCGCTCATATGTCTTGGGAGGCGTCTTCTTTTCCGCATCTCTACAATGATTTTCCATCCTGTTGTAACTGTTTGACCCTTCTCCCATGTATGTTCAGCGTTGTTTTTTCGTTGGTTCTTGTTTTGTATACAGATTTTATAACATTCAAAAATGGCTAATAAATTGTTAGCTTCATTTCATGTTGTTGCGCATTTGTTTATTCGAAACAATAGTGGGAGCTTTATGTCATCCGTAGTATCACAAATAGTCGAGCTGATCCCCTTTTTGTTAGGTGCCGGTCCTAATTCTCTTGAATGATGTCATGTTCAAAATAAAGTTGACAGTGAAAACGGCTTGGGTTTTTTCCGTGGTTATGGCCGCCTGGTATTTTTCGAGAACTGTTTAGATGTCTTGGAATGTTTTTTGAGATTGTATTTTCCAGTTAAATTCATTATCATGAATGAGACTTTGCAAACTTCTAGTCAACTTCTTTCTCTGAAAGGTAATTTTCTGTTGTTCTTCAAAAGTTGCTTTCATGGGTGGCATAGGATTCGGGCTGCGCTGTTTAACAAGCAGCCCTTCAAAAGTTACTTCATGGGTGGAATAAGATTCGGGCTGCGCGATGACGCTGTTTTCAAGAAGTCACAAGGTTCAGCAGAACCCAAATAATAGAGATTAGTACGTGAAGCTTTCATGGCTTTTTTGGGTAATTTGAAGGATGCATGTGGCTTTTTTCGCTCTGAGCAACCGATACAAGGGATGGTAAAACTAGAGTTGTCACGTAGTCTTATCACGTAAACTAATAAATCAGCTGAACTCTTCGCTCAGGAAAAGTTCAATAAACCGCGATACAAGCAACGCTCCGCAAATAAACAGCTTTTCATGCTGCGAAGCTTTGAAGAGGGTTTAGAACGCCGTGATTGAAGGAGCCCATTCCACTTACAAGCTTTTCCTCATCAAGTAGTGTTAAACGAGCACTTTATTTGTGACTGAAATTTGCTATTTGAAGGAATTTCTGTTCTAAACGAAATGACTTCAGTTATGCGTCTTGCACGGCCAAAGTTTTCCGAAACGGCACCACTCTCTGTTGATCCACTCGATGCTGCTGGCTTTTCTCAACTAATCGAATCGGCTCTCAGTATCAGTAAAAGTGAAGGCGACAGAAAACATGACGTCATTGGAGATTATTTCATTGCACCGCAGATGTTCGAGTGCGTTTTTGCCCAGTTTCATCTTTCGAAAACGTTTTCCCGGATGAAGTCTTTTCAAAATGCCATCTTTCGAAGACTTCTATCTTGAGGCATTGAAATGGGTCAGATCTTGTCCGTCCCAGTTCTCTATAATTAGGAATTTACAGAAATATTTATCTCGGTGAAACATTCACTTTCTACGTTAACTGCACTAATGAAAGCGATCAGAAAGTCAGCGATGTGTCTGTCAAGGTGCGTATTTCACAGAATTTTCCTTCGCTTCTGACTAATCGTAGTCGTTTTTTACATTGCGCCTTCAGCGATCAAGTGTCAAGGTGCATTAAAATGCTCATCCTAGCGATAAGTACCGTTTTGAAGACCATGCATGCATGGATATCCTGGGCTTGACTAGTNTAGTGGATCATTCACCTCTCAAAGAAGTTTACTCCTTCCTGCCATCAGAAGTTGGCAACAGTCAATACTTTAGTTTTAAAATGTTTCACTAAGACATGATATAACTCAAGATGCTCAACTCGTGGGACTGCAAGCGAAAACTACTACTTTTTGTTTTATTTTGTTATCTATGTTGTAAAGGTGGAAGTACAGGAGATCTGATCGACCGTGATCTAGGAGATGTTAACCAAAAAATTAGCTTTTGTTGCAGTGCGATCTGCAGACGAATAGCCAAAGAGTAAGTCTACCATCGAACATTCATGATGTAGTTCTGGAAGGTGGTAAATGCACTGGTCAAATCATCACTCATGAAGTCAAGGAAATTGGGCAGCATATGTGAGTCAAGAACTAGTTTACTTTGAAGAGGGAGCTGTATTCTCCGCTATCTTTTGATTTTGTATGCAAGTACATCGGCCAAATTCTGATAGAACGTGTAGACTGGTCAGCTGTGCGCTATGCCTCATTAACCTTTTGGCAGGGATGTTATCAAAAAGAGGTAAACAAGTGCAGGCGACGGCACGACGGCCGTCGGTTGTTCCAAACTAACCTTCTATCTCATGCTTTTTTACAATGTTTTCACTCGGAAGGGAGGAACATGCTGTGGAAACGATCACAGCCTGTCTGTCGTTTCACTTTTCTTATAATAAAATATAGTGGAGCATATTTTTAGCCCAAAAAGATTAAGAATGACAATTTCTCCGAGAGAAGGAGGTTGCAGTGGACGAATTCAGAAGACTGGAAAGCTATAGGTAAAAAAGGGCCCACTTCTAGCGAATATCAAACATAAGCATACCTAATTAGCTCTGTTACTGGTCTCGAGAGCGAAGGAAGAAAGAGTTGTGGGAGGGTGTATCAGTGTATTTTTCAATTCTTGAGCAAATTGATTAAGATTTCCAACAACTCTTTATTTGGCAAGCGTTTCGGTCCTTTCGGTTTTGGTTTCGCCTTATTCGGAAAGCTCGGCCCGATAGATAGTCGTTAAAAATCTCAGTCATACAGCTCAGGAGCCGAGATCTATGATACTCGTTGTAAGGCGAACTTACGCTACAATCTAGTTTGTAGTTTCTCTTTTTCCTTTTGGGTTTATCCCGTCGACATATTTAGTTTCAGTGTAGTTTCTTTCGTGGGTGCGATTTAGGTGGCAACTAACCATCAGGAAACGGTTTTCCCTATTTTGAAATGGATGAGCAATCAATTATCGCTTTGGTGGTTGGGAAGTGGTTGGAATATATTGAAGCTTTTTGTCAAGTTGCAATGCTTTGTCTGTCAGCTTTGATCGATGTTTCAATATGGCAACACCGAACATTCTTTTTCTGCAATTCCTGCATTTCTGTTTCCATGACAACAAATGGATGTGTATTAGACAAGCTCAATGATTTCAGCCTTATCTGCTCGGTGAACTATAAGACGTCTTCCGATGAGAAGATGTACTTCCGAAAGTTCATCAAATTCCCTGTCAGTAAACCGATCGACGTGAAGACAAAATTTTACAATGCTGAGGTAAGCCTTGTGGCTTCGAAAATAATCAACGTTTTGCCTTTGAAATTAAAAAGGCGCATGCGGTTGCGGTGCGGCGCCCATATTGTGACGTCTGCCGATTGTAAAGCTACAGCGCCGCATTCGTACGTGTGTTTGCCTTCGTCTTCGGCCAAGTCTAAACATTGCCAACCTATCAAGCGGCTACAAATTGTTGACTTTCAATTCCACTTCGATTGACTGGGTCTTCATTCATTACTGTTGCGGTTATTACTATTGCTGCTGCTCGTCCCTAGGACTATGCTGTCTTTCCTTGAGAACTAGGCGTAGAACGAATCGAGGCACGTGAGGGATATAGAAACCACAGCTTTGATTTCCGACCTTCCAAGGCAACTTATCCTCATTTGGACAAAGGTTTTGTATTACTAGCTCTTTTTTGTTCCCTTTTATGAGAAAGTCAGACGCAAATCCTCATTTGGCATGTGCACCATAGTCAGTGTAACCCTTTGGGGTATGCTGACGAAAGTTAAGTTTTGTTTTATTTTGATAATATTTGCTTTTTGTTGTTAAACCTGGTGATCGTATCAGTATATCTTGTGTTTGCTTTGCTGTGGTTTTCGTTTTATCTCATCGTTGTCATTCCATGCATGCTGGATGAGTGAGGCCTGTGTTGATGGTGTGATTCCAGGATAACTCGGTAGGTTACTTGTTGTATTTGTATTGTGTTTGCGCAAAGGCATGGATTGTTTACAGCTAGTCTCATCCTTCTAAAATCCTTATAATAATGTGTTTTTTTTTAGAATAACGACGTCTATCTCGAAGCACAAATCGAGAATACCGCTGCTACTGCGATGATCCTCGAACGGGTAGAACTGGAACCTAGCGCGAATTATACGGTTACAAGTATTCACTGTGGGTAAGTTAGTAAAGTTAATTATTTGTTCTTGTTAGAAACACTTTTACATACTGTCCTTTCGATTCAAATGGTTGTGTGCTTGGCTGATAGTAAGTGCTTGGGAAGTCGGCATAAATTGAATAGTCCTCTGACTACCTTGTTCACTCAGAGCTGATACTGTACGGGATCCCCTAATTTAAATACCATAATGAATATTCCAGTGATGCAGAAGAACATTCTGGAATGTATTTAAAACCTCGTGATATACGTCAATTTCTCTTCTGCCTCACGCCTAAAGACGCTCCCAGTAATGTGTAGGTTTTCTCATTCCACAGATTACTATGAATGAGTAACTGCTGGTATCTGAGGGAATATTCCAGATATAAGGATATGACCAACATTGGCAAGTTGGATATGTCATGGCGGACAAGTATGGGTGAAAGAGGCCGTCTTCAGACTAGCCCGTTGCAACGAATTGTTAGTCTTTTGCGTAGATGTCTCCTATTTACCTCTTCCACCGTAGTCCCTCTTAGTCCTAAGTTTCTTATATTTATTCAAGGCTCCAGCTCATGGTGATGTTCGATTGTCTGTGGAAAATTTGCCGGCTACAGTACCCGTTCGTCAACCGTTCACTATAGACTGCAAGCTTTATAACTGCTGGTAAGCTATGGTTTGGTTTCATCAAAGTAGTGTTCCATCAAAATAGTGCCTGAATATGTACTAGAAAAGTAGCACCTGCCAAGCGATAAGATTAAAGGCTGGTAAGTGTTCGCTGTTCAAGGAATATCTCACTACCAGACATGGGCGTCCGTCTAAATCCATTTCCTATACATACATGAAGTTTTTAAGCTCCTATGTACACCGACAAGTGGGATAAGGAGTGTATACCGAGTTTTAGGATTTTTCTCGAGAAGTTTAATTAGGCTCATCACTTTACTCCTTTTTCTTGCTACATAGAGCTCAAGGTGATCTGAATGTTGTGACTTTACACTGACTAAGGCGGAAATGAGGTGGTGTAAAATGGAGTCTTTAACGCACGGCACTGCCGTTTATGTGGAGATCGAATCCTGGATCGATGAGTAAGGGCCTCCGGGTTGTAAGCCGCGAAGCAATTCCTGGGTTTGTCCTAGATCTAGCCCTTTTTTCTCTGAAAAGCAGTAGTTGCAGGCTATCCTATTTCCAGTGTATCATATGGATTATTCATCAAGTGTTGATTAAATCATTTATTTAGTGAACGATCGCTCGATCTGCGACTCGAGCTCTTAAATACATCAAAATCGCTGGTGTTCTGTTCAATCAGCGGAGTGTCTCTGGGACAGGTTCCACCGAACGGTAGTGTCTCCTTCAGCGTTGAGATGCTTCCAATTTCTATAGGATTCCAGGTGAACATTTTCAATTAGTTCTGGCTAACATATGTATTTACTAAACTTTTAAACATGACCGTTTGCCATTAATAATTCATGTTTTGCTTCGATACTGGCTTTTTGCTGAAGTCCTGGTATTTCAGTCAATTTCGGGTATTCGAATAGTAGATTCGTTTCTGAAGAAGACGTACGATCACGACGACATCGCTCAAGTTTTCGTGATGTAGGACTGTTCGTAAGTAAGCCAGAATTTCATTTTACTCCTACAAAAACACAACTCCGAGATTTCCTTTTTTACCTGTGTTGATCATGTTCAGATATCTTTGTTTGCATGGTTCTTCCCCTGATGAAAGCTCATTTCGGCAACTCAGTGAAGTTGCTGGCGACCTTACATCAACGTAGCAAAGCAACCACTTCTTCAGTATTCAAATGAGCGCTTCTCTGACCATGTTTGGGTGATTTCTATGAACTGTGTTAGCGTTGTTTGACCAAGTGTCATTGTCTGGTCAGATATGGCATAGCTTAAGGGTCCCTAAACAGGACCCATTGCTTCTAAACTGATTTTCTGGAGGGAACGGGTATGCTTTGTACTGGTGGAAGTGAGCATTGTGTCTGAACTACCGATATTTGATGTTGTCTGGTTGTTGTTGAAAGGAGATCCTTGGAAGTTCTTGTTGAGCTTGTAAAGCAAGTAAGTTCGGGTGGTGAATTGTGATCGATCAAGTTTGTTCTTTGTAAAAATTTATGCAGCAAATGTAATATATGAATTGTTGTTACAAAAAATATTTGTGGTAATATAAACATTACAGGTAATTATGTCGATTAGATGAAAGACGTGTACAAAATTTTTACAGACAAAACATTTCAATGGGTGACAGTTTGAAAATTGTGACCTGGTTAGGTGAGGGAAAAGCTTGGAACGATGCTGTCATGTTGCCATAAACGTGAACTTGAGGGTTTCCTAATCATAGGGGATGTAGAGCTAGAATACAGTTCTCAGCTGGGTATTTAAAAGTTGATGACGGTAGGCGCCTGAGGGACGGTATATCTGGGAAGCGAGCAGTTGCGAAGCGCTAGGTGCGCNCTCGGGCGCTCATTGCCGCTCACGATTCTGAGGCATGAGTCAGCACTTGCCACTTTCGACGGAACTCGAAAAATGTCGGGTGTGGATCATAATTAAGTCTTAAGTTGTCATTTCTAATGTACATTGGTGACGAATCTGGAAGGATTAATTGAGACCGCCATCTCAGCAACTTAGTTTCGGAACTGTGGCATGTGCTGACCCACATAGGTAGATTAGTAAACAAGGTTTCACGGTTATGTCATTAAATCATACTTTCTGTAGAAAACAATGCGACAACAATGTGCTACATGCAATTGAAGATCGTGCACTCCAAAACTGGGAAACGCCTATGGTGCTTTCCAATCTTTAGTGCTGGATGATAGGACGTCTTATTTTTTGAGCCTGTTGACGGTATCATGCCAGAAGCATGCTTTCATGTTTTCGAAACGTTCATAGCATGGTACATACGACATATCGAGCATTGTGACATTGCCTGGTCGTTGATCACAGAATGTCAAACACTGAAAATAATGACTATACTGAAAAGTGGGGGAGAGCGAAGTGGTTAGAGGCGGCATTTCGTTGGCACATAGTTGATGGTACAATCCCCTCTACTTAGATTCGACTTTTTCAATTTTAATTTTGACTTACATTTTAGGCTTGAACTCACGTTCGGAGATTTTCTTACTAGGGCTTCGGAAGGATTGCCTGGTTTTAGGCGAAATCAAAGGAAGGCGATTTTAGGCGAATCCAAACTTCCCAGGTACAGTGCTTATCCGTTACCTCATCGAAAAGTCGATAAGTTACCGGGTGCTCCCGATACTCAGTTACGAACGAGTTCATGGCGCGAAATTCGGACCCTTCAAAGTCTTAGTGGTGTCCATTAGGTTGGCGTCAGGTTCGATCTCCTTTTTTCATTTTGGGTACTGTAGAGGACCCTGAGTGCCTTACCTTGGCTCCAGCTAGTGTTGTTGTAACACCATTCCTTTCACAACATGCACGATGATCTCTTCCTTGTGCAGCGCAGAACTGAATTTCGGCCGTTGCCTGTATAGGACATGCGTCTTGCTTGAAGTACATGCGAATCAACTGAAAAGCGAAGTATTCGGAGATCGGAGTGATGTAAACTCCAGAATAATGGTGATTTTGAGAAAGTCACGGTCTGCTGGATCCTACCGATTCTTTTCTAAAGGTATTGTAAGTGCAGTGACGAAGACAAGCATCCGGTAGACCTCTCTGTTCGCAACAGTCCATGAACAGCACATTGGGATCCTGTAAGTATGATTACGTTAAAACTATCCCTTCTGAGCTCTTTTTCCATTCAATCGCTTCCGCTAATGTACGGCTGTGTTTAGGGCTCCTGGGTGAAGACGGCGCTGTTAAAAATGAATGGCTTGGCAAACTCGTCCATCGTCTGTCTAGGCCAAGGCCAAGCAGGCCCTTTGTCTACCTGATTGGGTGAGTTGAAACTGGATTTTTTCTAAGGGAATTAGAAAGGGCACCAATTACCCTTTAAATTTTCCGTATGAAAACTTTCACTATCCTGTTCAAAGTGGAAAGATGGTTTCTCTGGAAAGGTAACAAAGAAGGTCACGCTACAATTATATTCCCTTTTCCCTTCTCAACAAGGATCCCTGTACAGGAGCCCATCACGACTGAAAGTGAGTTACAAGCTGTCCCATCACTTTCGGTTTGTTCCTGTGTGACATCGAGGGAGCTACCAGTTGTTTTCAAAATGCTAGCATTAGCATCATTGCACTATGGGTTTTAGGGTGCTAACCGGTACTCCACCGAACTTCACTCTCTTTTGAAAGTTCAAACTAGTTTCTGTCAGGGAAGCTTTACCAATGTTTAGGAACAATAATCGTCTAGAAGTAGGATCTGGTGGCCATAAGCCATAAAACTGGCGTTGACTTTGATACTAATCGGATTCGGCTTTCCCTTTAATGTCCCTGAACACGAGTTCGATGTCATCTAAGTCTTGTTCCCCCTTTCCCATAAATTCACCATTCGCTCGTAATCCTATCGTCCTCCGGATTGTCCAGCTATACGTGTATGAATAGTTGATCCGCTGTACCGGACTTTCCGACGAGATAAAGCTCATCATAATCGGTCCGGCTCATGCCAACGGACATGAACCGGCTCTCGGTATGGTTGTCCCGTCCGTATTGTCCATCGCTATGGTCATGTGGTCATAACACGGAGGCGACATGGATGTGTTAGCCAATGCGAAACCTATACAAATAGTGATGGATACGGCTCATAGCGCCGTATCCGGATACTCTTAGTGGTCCCACCGCCAAGGACAACGTCGCACAGCCGCCTAATCCCACCTACGAACATTGTTGAACAAGTTTCGTCGATGTTGCACTCATGTGACCGAAATAAGCCCTTAAAGATGCCCAACAGAAAACTGGTTCTTCAAATATTACGGGGGAAATGTGAAATTTCTCTGTTTGGCCAGTGACATGGACCTGGCAATCCAGGAATCAAAGATTCCATTAATCTACCTAGTTTTTGTGGCACTAACAAGTCAGATGGACTATAATGGACAAGCTAATCTATCCGTGGCAGCACAAACTGCCTGAATGCAGGACCCTCTGAGAAAGGGACAAACTGACTAGCTGGCTAGCTCAAGAATCTGGTACGAATCACGGCTTTTACAGACTTTTGAAGGGGTAGACGGTTCCCGTTTTCCATTTTCGAGAATCCCCAAGAAGGAGCCGAGACAATCCCCCCCCCCCCTGTTTAGATGACACTATTACGAAATTTTTGGATAGGTTCCAGAGATATTGAATTTCAGCACTCATTTTCGAAATATTCGGTGACCGTCAGTGATGACGAAGATGGTAATTAAGGCCAACGATTTTCATTTCGCTCCAACAGGACCGATCGCAGCTAACTAGAAGTCTCCGAGAATTCGAATTTGGGGACACGTGAACAAGTTTTTCGAGGAATTCCTGCTCAGTGAATAAGTGAAAAAAACTTTCACATGACTGTCTCAGAACCCTGTTTGGATTACTCATTCTGCGTTATTGAACTTGATTCTACGGAAGCTTAACCCAATGATTCATTTTGAGTCATTGAACCTGATTCTACAAAAGTTAAACCCAAATCATCAAAAGTAGAATCAGAAAGCAGAAAAGATGGGGCAAAGAACAACTTGAAGACGCTGGTCGCTTTAGGTGGATGGCTGGGTCGTGTGCGATAAATTACATTTCCTATTCCTTCAGAGGTCAAATATCCCTATCAAACTGTCTAGTTACTTCACTTTTGCTTACGTCCGTTTGAGCAAGGTTTTACCTTAAAAATCATCGTCCCTCTAAAACCCGTTTGAGTGGTTCCTGAAAGCGAGGGTGTAAATGAAAGTTCAGAATTGCGATGTTTCTAAAGATGTTGCATGCTCAATGGACCCAAAAAGGCATCGCTATTGTCGAGTTATTTGAAAAGAACAAAATCACATGTTGTCGTGAGAACGGCCGGAAGGCGCTAAAAAGAGTTTTTTTCTTGAAAAAAACCTGACGGTAGCCGATCGAGAGCCATAACGACCCTTTTTCACCCCAACCCTCTAAAAAAACATCTCGAGCTGACATCCTGGAACCCTAAACAGGTTTATATTTACTGATATTAAAAAATATGGTATAAAATTAGGAGTTTCGAGTCATGATAATGTTTTATGGTGGTACCAAACCCAGTATTGATAACAGTTTCTTTGAGAAGACTTATCGAAATACAACTTTTGGCTACCTTGCATTTTCTTCAGTCACTGAGTTTCACTGTAGCTACGACATTGATGGCCGATCGTTTTTTTGCTACCTTCTCTTCTATTATATTCATGTTTCCTTTTAAACATCACCATGATTCGTGTTGATTCAATCCTCTTCCGCTTCCTCTTCTCCGTTTCCCTTACTCTGAGGAGGTCTTACGAACTCGAACTCATTTTTTGATTTCCTTTTTGAGTTCTTTTGTTAGGCAGTTCCTTTCCATGCAATGTGAGCATAATTTCCATTCGAGTCCTAATTCAACTCGGGGCCACTAGCCTTTCTCTCGGCGACTTCCCAATACAGGCTCTTCCCCCTACCAAACCGAACGCTTTAGCCCGTGCGATGTTTCATGACATTGTGATTGGAATAGTTTTTTTTTCGAAGTTTCGGTTGAAGCTTCTCTTTCATCAAGTAACTTACTCAAAACTTACGCTTGTCTGTGTCGGACGTCGAAATTGTGAGAATCTATCAGCTCCTCTAAGTATCGGTCCATCTCGTACTGTGTTAGCGCCATGCACTCGAGCTCGACTACGATAACAGCCATAAGCGCCACAACTATAACCGATTCCACATCCTGAAATACACAAAGCTTCCCAATCAGCATTATCTGTCATGATTTCAGCTTTAACGCTTCAATACTCAAAACAGCCTTCTCATGGTCGCTCCTTCAACTAGACCATCACCTGGACCGGGTGCAGTAGATACGTACCGTAGCCGAAAAGAAAAGTTTTGCTTAGGTGATTAGTATGCCGGCAAGCAAGGCTTTTAATATGTCTTAGGGTAATGTTAGGAAGGAATTGGTGGAAATAAGAAGTAAATAGGAGGTAGTGACATATAAATGTGAAAACGAAATGTGCTTGGCCGATTATTGAGAGTTTCATCTCTGGGAGGGGATTCGGCTCAGTCAGCTGACTCCGTACACTTTCCTTTGGTTTTAGTGGAGTTACAAGAAGAATTCGAGGTAGCCTACCTGTTAAATACTAAATTCCGTGCCGGAAACCTAGGGGGTTACCCTACCTTGATCAAGGCTTTTCGCTTCGATTAATCTGGTTGTCAAATCCATTTGGAACATTTCTTACAATATATATGACCTCATGCCTGAACATCTGCTGTTCTACATAGTATTGTTTGATAAAGTTAATCGAAATACTGAAAATGGCTGAAAGTAACTTATAAGCTCGTGGGTACATCACCACCCTACCATCTTGGCAATCAGTCATTTGCTGCTTTCACCGGGAGCTCCCTCGGCTGTCCCCTTTTAAGAATGTCCTCTANCTTTATAGTTATACTTTCTTCTTGCAGTTTTAGGTAGGCTTTGATTGTTTTGATTCGCTGAATGGCTGCCAGTTCAAGAGATAGTCCCCACTGTATACATAGTACTCACTACTAGGACTCCATAGTTAACCGGTATCTGGTAATACTAATACAAAAGTAGCCAGTTAATCATCATGTGAATACCGTTTTTCTATGTTCACAGGAGGATTTACACTATGGATTATTAGCGCGATTACGGCCGAGCGATGATGGCGGCTATGTGATGACCACAAAGCGATTGGTACCTGATTATAGGATTCGCAGAAGAGGAAGAAAAAGGCCGATGAAAAAATGTGGAAGGATCCTAACTTAGTTCTCCGCTAGATCTCTCCCATTGGATTAAGGGGTCACAAGATTCAAAAAGGTTGAAAAAATAAGTAAATATGTGGTAAACATGTAAGTAAATATGTAAAACGAGCTCACCTAGGCCACCAGCACAGGCTGGAGGTGGTATTGGCGGGATACCACCCATACATCCACCACCAAATCCTAGTCCGATACCGCCGCATACGCCAGAGGCGAAGCACTGGAATTAATTTGTTAAGTATTAATAATTCGATATCTATGTCAAGTGGGGACAGCCTAGGCCAACAGGCCCATCAAGGGGACCTAAAAGAGTGATGTTCAAAGAGGACAATGATTTCGATAATCTACTGAGGAAATTTCTCCCTCTAGTTGGCCATCGCAGGTGTTTACATCACCCTTCTCTTGAAGTCCTGCACATTGTCTTGAGGCATTAAGGCAGGCGTCAAGAAATAATGCTAGTGAATTTTCTTTCAAAAGAGAGGGTAAAGGCGTTCGGGAAGCATATACCCCATAGTTTATCTCAAATTCTTAAATTAACTCACCGCATTGGAAGTAGGAACCAGAACAAGCAATAAAGCGAGAGTTACAACGATCTGGCCCAAGCTGGACATGATTACGGTAGTTGCCATATGAAGGCTGACGATCGTATTTATATGACCAGCGCGGTCAGCGGCCGGTTCGCCTCCGCCACCGCTACCGCCTCCCATGAGATTGCGGTGGGCCGTTTGCAACATGGCCGCGTCATCGTTTCGTTCATAGCACACTTTCTCCTTACAAGTAGCTAGTGAGTAGTAGTTGTGAAGGGTAAGGAAGCGCTAGAAAACGTTGGAATTGTAAAAACAATCGCCCAAGCGGGAGCCTATTTCGTTCTTGCTGGGTGGTTCCAGAACTCTTGAAGAAACTGTCAAGAAGGGTGAAAATGTGATTGGGGTGGGGGGGGGGGGGGGGGGG